AGAGGACATACTAGTTTGCATGCTTGACTTCATGTCCATGTATTCACCGCCAAAAGAATGAAAACCACTATTTATTATGGCAAGACAACATCATATTTTGGATGCAAGGCTCTCCAAGATTTTCCAAGAGTCTGGTAACATAACATGAAATCCTCCTCCAGATATGCTGCCAGTGTGTCGACAGAGTAAAGCCCAAAGCCTCTGCCTCGTCTCCGCGACAACGTCCCTAATGTGGGATATTACTACCATCAAGAACAGAGATGGAAACAAAGGATGAATTGCGATTGGTTATAATAATCTCTGAGTGGTTTACAGCCTGGGAAAGGCTCTCTGTAAACGCTACTGTAATGGAGAAGTTTAAACTCCTATGGCTGCATCCCAAATCGTATTTCCTATAAAGTGCACTACTTTTGAGCAGGGCCCATAGGGCTCTGGTAAAAAAATCGTGCACTTTGTAGGTAATAGGGTGCCATTTGGGACGCAGCCACTATGACTTATAGTGGAGGCAGTAAATGTGCAATTGTGTGGGAAGAACGAGGGTCTGAGCTGTTACTGTATCCTAAAGGCACAATTGGTAGTTTATTTTGGGGGGGGCAAATGGCAGCACTACCACGTAGTTTGGACCCCCCCCCCCCCCCCCCCCTCCATGTTGAACCTAGACCATTAATCATGGTGGGGAATACATCTATGGGAAATGCGCCCAAATTGCAGTGCTTACCTAGACATATCACAGACATATTTCTCACTGTGTTTTTCATTACATTGTTTTGTCTGAGCTTTTCAGGTAAAATGAAGTAGTAGTGCCCTGCTCACTGAGTCATGAGGAGGCATGCTGTTTCTAATGGTTTTGCATTTGAAATGTTTTTAGTGTAGTGCGGAAGAGACTAAACTGACTGTTGTCGTCTACCAGTAATTCTAGTTTAGCCAATTTCTGAGTTTAAAGGCAAATATTGAAAGAGAGCGAGAGAGAGCGCGTGTGTTTGAGTACCGTAGCTCTTGAAAGGAGAGAGCAGAGACAGGAATACACAAACAGCATCTCTGCCTGTGCTCCAAAACAACCAACATGACTCCCACTCACACCCACCACCAGCTACACAGGAGTCATGGAGAAACATGACACAACCACCACCTCCAGACTTGGCAAGGAAAGTCAGGGAAGGGAAAAGCTTGCAGAGCCAACTTTTATCCTCACTCAGTCACTGTTGAACTGGTTTACTAGGCCAATGCCTCTGACTAGTGCTCTTTAAAAGCACACTGACAATAACAATTAGCTGTCAAAGAACCACTGTGCAGAATCCTTCCTCATCACAAACTAGTACCATTCCTATGGGGGACGGGCGTAATGGATGGGTGGGTGTTTTCCTGTCTTTCACCAACACTTTTCTTGTTTGTTTTGGAGCTCACTGCTGCACTCTCCATACGCACCAGTGGCGCTAGCGCAGTAGGGGGTCTCCACCGTCTCCTCCTTTCCCAGGCTAAATGCACTGGGCTGCACTGCTACAGCAGTAAACATCCTCATCTCATCCAAAGAGGACCAACAGATAGAAATCAGTGTATTGTTAAAGTCTGGCAGGCAGAGTCAAAGCCATCCTTATAACCGCAGAGGAGGGAATGAATGAGAATGAATGGGAATATCTATACCCAAGGGCAGTTGATTATTCAATAGATCTAAGTACTACATTTCAACCAAGTGCAGTCTTTCGAGGGACTCTGCACACAAAGCTTAACGTATAAGCTTCAAAAAGCATCTCACTTTGCCATTCCTGTTCTGAAGCTTATGAAATCCTTCACCTCATAGCCCTCTATCTTTGCATCGCAGTTTGATTTCCACAAATTACTACTAGAATCATAATAAGCTTAGAGCCTATAATAAGCCGAACAAAATCTAAATGTTCTAATACAGAATTCTAAACCATCTAATTATATTTGCAGCATAGGTCCAAAAGTCCCAGTAAATGAGAGTGAGCAATGTAATTCGCCCAGGGGTATTAGCTTTGGGCACTGCGCCCCTGGATGACCAGCCACAGGTGTCCCTGTGGGACCAGACCATAGACATACATTCATACATCATCAGGCCAGACAGACACCTGTGCAGACTCAGCCGTCTGGAACTCTGGCCTGCTTTCCTGGCAGTCCCTGATCGCTGTGTTGCCTTGGTCTGGCTCACTCCCATCAGCATTCGGTAAACTCAGTGCACCACCCCTGCATGTGAAGTACCGCTCCCTTCCTCCCAGCAAGGACATCCAGGGAATGCAGACAAGCCACCTCACCTGTGTTTGTGGCAGGTGGGAGCCACAGGGCACACACACACACAGCATGCTTATTAGTTAGCAAATGTGCCCTGATGTGTGGTCAATGGTCATTAGGCAATGACACATGGTTTGGACCATGTTTGTGTGGGGGGAAAATAAAAAGAGAATCCAAACATATGTGAGTTTTGACACTGCCTGTACGGTTAGTACATGTCTCACCTGTTTTGACCGTTGCCACAGGCTCCTCCTCTGAAATGCTACCTGTCTGCTTACATGGAAATAGGACGTGAGAACTGTTCGAGTCGGTTCTGACTAGAGGGAGTACAGCTACGACCAGAAATTACTTTTTCGTAGCAGGTTAGGAGAATTTACGCAGCAGGTTAATTAAGATAACTGTAGGTTAAGGTTAGGAAACAGGTTAGGCTTAGCTAAAATGCTTCCGGTCTTAGCTGTACTCCCTCCAGCCACAACCCACTAGGCACACCGTCATTTCAATGTGGAAATGTGGGTAATATTTGGTTGAGATGTTGATCAATAAGATTTCAACCTTTATTCACTCACTCATAAAGACAGCCAGATGTTTGTTGAATTCCCAATGTGTTATCACTATGCTTTCAACCATCTAAATGGTTGATATTCTGCACAGATTATTATAGCAATTGTGAAGATCTCCACAGACCTGCAACCTCTGCATGCTATCTTAAACATGCACACTTTCTATTATTACATAAGACATGTTTAGTTACAGTAGGCTAACCTCAAAATGTCGCCATTGACATGTTACTCATTTTAAGGTTGAATAAATACTGTTATTCGTTTCTAAGAGCCTTAACTTTAGGCTATTTACTGTACTACAAAAGTAATATTGAATTGTATTTGGTTGGCAACACAACCAAATATCAACATTTAAAGGATATCTAACGCTTGGATAGTTTCATCTGAGCCACTGGCTTAATCCTATTCTTTAACCTTTATTTTGGGTTTAGTTGGAGATGTAAATCCAACATATCATTAGTTAACTTGTCGACAAGTTAATAGGCTATTTACTGTATTGCAAAAGTGATATTGAATTGTGTTTGGTTGTCACTGACTTAGTCCGGCATTCATTCTAGTTTGTCTACAAATTAATAATTGATATGTTGGATTCATGTCTCCATCTCAACCAAGAACCAAAGTTAAAGAATAGGACTAAATCAAACTTTATTTAAAGTGCATTTAAAGTTTGATTAGATTTAGTCCTATTCTTTAACTTTGATTTTTGGTTGAGATGGAGAAGTGAATTCAACATATCAATTACTAATTTGTTGACAAACTGTAATTAAAGACAGACTAAGTCAGTGGCACAGATGGAACTATCCAAGCAGGAGATACATCTCCTTCAAATGTTGATATTTGGTTGCGTTGCCAACCACACAATTCAAATATCCAGTTTGTCTATAAATTAATAATTGATATGTTGGATTCACGTCTCCATCTCAACCAAACATTTAAGTTATATTGTTGAAATGACTAAACCCAATCAAATTTAAAGGATATCTACTAATTTGAATTACATTTAATCCTATAATTTGATTGGTTGGATGTGTAATCATGCACTAACAATACATTTAAGTAAAGAATAGGACTAATCTATTATTGAAATGACTTTAGTGTCTATTGATTTGATTTAATCCTACTTTTTGATTGTTGGATAAGTCATCCAACCAATTATGAATGGATCTAACATATGTAAGTCATAAGCTCTGAAACTGCATATTAATTATTTTATAGGTTGAATTAACATAGCTTGATAATTTGCAAATGTAATAGGCTAAATAGTCATGATGATACCAGGATCATCTTAAAGTTGGTATTTTTGCTTGAAACCACCTTTGAATGATATCATAGCAACAATATATTTAGTTATTAGATCTCTCTCATACCACATTAGGTTAGTAGTAGACTACTTCTACTGACTACAGTGGTAGTAGTCAGTGACAAATATCAAAGCTAGGCTTGGTTAAAACCCTGGATGGGAGACCAAATGAATGGCTGTAGATAAATCAACTCTCCAGTAGGAGTTGCTGCCCAGCCAATTGGATTTTGCTGATTGTGGATATAACATTGAAGATCTGACATTGTTACAAATTCAACATATTTTAGCACATACAAGGTTTGTTTATGTTAAAAATTGGTTACAATGACATAATCACGTGGCTGAAATTTCAACCTGAAAGCAACAGTTTACTAGATGACTTTTTTCTAATCCAATCCACATAGATTCCACTTCACAATACGTTGACAAATTACAATGAAACAACGTTGATTTAACCAGTTTGTGCGCAGTGGACACCTGTTGAGTCTGACCGTTGATATAACCGCCCACACATAGGGCTACTGTAATTACTATGACAAACCGTCATGTAAAAGGAACGATGTGTTCTCTTTAGTTAAAATATTTATTTTGTTTGTGAATCATTCGAAAATTCCAATCGTTTTAGAATGAAGTGCTGCGCTGGAAACTGTAGTCGACTCCGTGGGCACGCGATTGCTCCGAGCTTTGAAAATGTATCATGATCAGAGTCGCGCAGAAGCAGTAAAATGTATCATGATCAGTGTCGCGCAGAAGCAGTAAAATGTATCATGATCAGAGTCGCGCAAAGCAGTAAATAGGCCTATAGGTGAACAACAGCGGAACTGTTAGGGAAATTAACCAATTAAGCCTCAAACATGAGTTGTGTTTGAAGTGTTTCTACACAAGTGACTCACCTTGAATTCCACGGACAGTTGAGGGGTATATTCGAGGGTCCAAAGCGCCCGCACCAAGGATGCCAACTGTGTGGTCACCTCACCCCTGGCAAATTGTGCGTCCTCGTTTTTTACAATTCCGTTTACTCTCCCCTGACACAAATCAGACTTGTATTGTTCCAAACCAAGGTACTCCGCCAGAAGGTCCGTATTACTGAGGCACTGAACCACCGCATTCATGAAACAAGTGTTTCCATGATTCTTCAAACCAAGGACTCCAGGAGTTTTGTCGCCATAGCACCACGACAGCCTGTCTTTTATAGATCCATGAGAAGACAAAGTTGAGGCGCTCTTCTTCACCTTAATCTCCCTCGAGACCAGAAATTCATCTTTATTACAATTCCCTGAGTTGGCACTCGACGAGCACGCGGCGCTGTTTCGGAACCCGCCATCATCATCCTCGCCGTCAGGTGGTCTCGACGTCGCCAAAGTGTGCCAAAGTTCCCAAAGTTTTCAGTATCCTGCTCATAAAATGCCCAACGGACTTCAACGATTTCCTTCTGAAAACCTTCCCGGCTTTGTATTTCTTCTCTTTGCGTTTTGTCGATTTGGTTTTCATGGACTGTTTCCTTATCTTATTCTCCTTGTGGTTATCCATGGTGGCTGGTTATTTACCGAAAACGAAACAACGACTGAAGCGATATACTCCTACCTGTCTGCCTGTACCCCTCCTCCTCTCGAAACCACTCCGGTCTCTGCTAATAGACAATACGGAGGTGAAGGCACATGACTAAACAATGTCCCTCAGACATTCCGGTAATTCCAGCCAGGTCTCGACGCGCACTTGTCACACTGTTTCGCTGGTAAAATGGTGAAGCGGCGGGCACTTGTAACCAGTAACCACTGTATAGGTGAGTTGTCTTCAACTCCATGGTCGTAGTGAGGCTCAATACTTCCTCGTCGTTGGCACAGTGCACGAGCACATACAGCTGGCGGTCTTTCTCTCTCCCTCCCCTCGCCACTCGGAGCGCTGCTGCTGGAGTGAGTTCTGTTTGGTGGATAGTGCGCGTTATTCCCGCCCTCCTACTAGTTTAGCCTACATTGAAGGTGGCGGACGTAGTGACAGGACTCTGACACTGATGGATATTAGGCTTATTGACAACTTGAACAAGCTTGCTGACACTCATTTAGTAACAGGCGTATAAGCTTCCCCTATAATTAGATGCATGATAAGGAGTATTGTGTATTGTTTAATCAACATTACAAGCATTCTGTAGGCCTATATTAACAAATACTGAACCTATTTTGTATTAGAGCAATACAAGGTCTGCACTGTACAGTACCCTTTCTTTCCTTTTTTACTATCCTCTATATTGGCATAATGTGAGTAGGCTACGGTGCATGTCCTCTGTCACAACATGGTCCCAACGGAAAATAATGATATTTTTTAGGTGTGTAGGAGCCCCCTACTGTTTTAGGCTGAGATTGTTCTGAAGCCCGGTGATGGCACAGTAATAGACTGCACCTGAAATATCCTTTCCTCTGATGGAATGCCTCATCTAATAATGCACTGTTGGAGATTTTACTGCACTGTTGGAGCTAGAAACATAAGCATTTTTCTGCACCTGCGATAACATCTGCAAATCTGTGTACACGATCAATCAACTTTGATTTGATTATTCATCACGACTATCAAACAAATGTCCTAAAAATAATATAGTCAGGCTGGCACATCCCCCTGCCTCACTGCAATCTGGAGACACACGTGTGGAGGAATCAAATGATGGGAAAGACACAGAGAATAAATTGTCTTAATGCTACTTGGTACTGCATGTTTTGTACGGCAATGTGCTGCTGAGATCCTCAATCAGTTTAGGTTTTAATTTCACAGCTCGCCAAGACCATAGATTGGATTTAGTGAGCCAGATGTGCTGATTTACTCAAGCAGATGTATAATATTCATATTTATCTTCCAATATTTTTATAATCTCATGTTATTATTGCAGTGTAATAGGGAAAGCTGTATTTCTGAGGAGTCTGCACTCTGCAGCCCCCGGTTCCAAACTTCTGCAATGAGTCAGAAACTCAAACTCTTACCCTATAGGGCTATACAGTACTCTTATCTTATAGCATGGCCTCCTGAGTATTCAGTGTGTGTGCATGGGCAGTTGGATGGTTTGCCCTATTTTAGAGAGCTGGGGTGTAGGTTATGTTTTGCTGACTTGGTCCGTCCATAGCGTACTGCAGGTTTGCGCTCTCTTTTTGTGGGTAGCTGACTAGTGGGGTAGCTATTAATTATTGAGTTTTGAGCTTCTGAGCAATCGAGCGTGCACACACACACAAACCTTCTCCTTACCGAAGTCTCTGGGGAATCTCCAGTGATAGATAAGCTGACAGCAGCGGTGTGCTAAAGTGCCTTTGAATCTGGGCCTCGTCGTCTCTCTTTCTCTTCTTTACCACACGACACGCATATAGGACAGTCATATCTGTATGAAATATGCATTTAATGTACTGTGTAGCCTGCCTTTTTACATTCACTGCGTTTTAATGGGGAAAAGGGGAGGGCACAATCACTCCCCATGGAAGATCAGAGAGGATGCTATTCAAGGCTATGACGAGCAGATGAGGATCTTTATAATGTTCTGTGATTACAATATCCAGCTTTGCATTGATGAGGTTAAGAGTCCCTAAGTCAATTTGTTAGGTTAATTCCATGCATATTAGAACGTGTCTACGAAGTTTGTTGATACAGTATATTGTTAGAGTATGGCGAATACCACACTATAACTATGCAATTACCTTCAACAAGCAAAATGTAGCTAGTAATACATATTTCAGTCAATATCGCACAATCAAAATTATATCCATTTATTTTCATGAATGAATGAAACATTTGCTCTATGATAGCACTACTGGCAGTATTCATGAGTTCTTCGGAGTTGTTTGGTGTGAGGACAGGTGTGCATTGGGACTGGTCAAGGTCAAAAGTTAAACGTTTGTAGGGTGTGTGGGTCAAAGGTCATAGGGTCATGGGTTTTGACCCTCTGTTCTCCTGGCATCCGGGAGGCGCTCTAGGGGGAGGAGGGGTGGGGGTACCTCCACCGGAGCACGGCCCCGTCGACACTGGTGCTCACCATGCTCCTGTTGTTGGAAGAGATCTTGACGCTGGTGATGCTGCCGCTGTGGCCGACGCCCACGTGGGTCACCTCGCCCTCCGAGTAGTCCCACACCTTCACCAGCTTCTCGTCTCCACCTGAAGTGGGCCAGCAGAGACACATATACTTTGTTTATTTCTACGGCAAAGCCCACAAACATTGATCCAACCGCATGCTGGATGAACTCACATTCAACCAAGTGCCCTTCATGACAGTCCCAAACTATTGAGAGTCAATACAGAGATATTTAATGGACAGACCATGTGCTGTTGTTGATTGATGGTAGTCAACAGTAGCCTAGTCCTAGATCTGTTTGAGCTGTGCCAACTCCTATGTCAATGTCACGCCAAACAGTTGGCAAGATCACAAATCAACTCATGCTCTACCTCTTCAACTCAACCAACAAAACCAATGTAAAGCATACTGTACCAGTGACAAAGTGCTGTCCGTCCTGTGAGATGTCCATGCCATTGATGGCTCCCGACAGGGAGCCCTCCAGTTCTCTGATGGCTGAGCCATCATACACCTCCCAGTAACCAATCTGGAAAAGAAGACCATTCAGGTATATGGAATATGAATGAGAGAGCTTGTACATATAAGACTTATAAGTCAGATTAGTTTATGACATATTCTATGTTATATTACAATAAATTATTAAAATGACCATGTATCATAGTTTTATAGTAAGTATGAATGCCACGCCTTGTATGTCTTCTGTTCGTTCATAGTATAGTAATTCCGCCTCACTGAATTATCTATCTTCATTATTCCACTATATGTAAATGGAGCCGGTGAGAGTCTATCAAGTTTTCGTGCGCCCGCCACAGTTAAAACAACATGTTTGTGACTCTAAATTAGATTTAACCGTCCCGAGGGTTTGCAGCGGTCAAAGACAATTGTTTTTGAAGTTTATTTATAGCCGCACAGTAACGCCACAATCTCCCCACACACAGAAGCGAGGTCCTTTCTTGTTATTTTTATGACAAAGCTAATTACAATTACAAACTAACTGACGCATATGAGAGGACAGAGGAATTTCATCATTAAAATGCAGCATGTGAGTGCTTCTTCAGGCATCAAGGAGGAGGAAACTGGCAGTTTGACTGACTGGCACCATATAACTGAACCATTTGTGATTTTAAGTATTGGAACTGACCAAACTGATTGTACCTGGAAATGAATGATTTCTTTGTACGCACAATGGGCCTTATTAACAGAAAATCTAATCATCAACAAGTCAATGTTTAGGCTATAGAGTGAATATTACAATAACCAACACAATCTCCTCACACAGAAGTGAGAAAAGGTCTCAAATGAATACATTTCAACTAGTAAATCTGAATAAACCAGTTCAGAGGATTCATCAGAAAGGTGTAGGCCTATCAGAAAAAACCTCCAGTTGTATGCAATGAAACAAGTAATGTTACATGGGAGAGAGCTCAGAATAGCATTTATGAGAATAGCTTCTCGGACTGGATTTCATCTCTTAGCAAGACCACAAACATAATGCATTATGGGACTGAGGAAATGTAATCTCACAGAGACATATCAAATACAGTTTGTAATAATGGGATTGAAGAGAAACAAATGGCAAAAAAACAATGTATTTATAGTATTAAGAATGAAAAACAGTGCTCAAAGCAAAGAGCCAGCCCAAGAGCCACATTTCTGTGGGATAATGTACCTCAATATAATTCAAATTCAATGGAAAGGCTTACTGACTGGAAAACACATTTGTTAGACATTATTGAGAAATACACAACAGTCAGGACTGTTCTTCTTCAATATGATTAACATTTACATTTTACATTTTAGTCATTTAGCAGACGCTCTTATCCAGAGCGACTTACAGAAGCAATTAGGGTTAAGTGCCTTGCTCAAGGGCACATCGACAGATTTTTCACCTAGTCGGCTCGGGGATTAGAACCAGCAACCTTTCGGTTACTGGCACAACGCTCTTGCCCACTAAGCTACCTGATTAAATTAAAATGGAAAGGCTCAAGGTTCTTTGCATGCATCATTCATTGTGAAAACATATGGTCAACATAATGACCAACAACCATCATTTAGGCCTACATTATTTTTTCAATATGATTTAAATTAAATGGAAAAATCCAAAGTTCTTTGCGTGCATTCATTCACTTTATGAAATAACATTTTTGGTCAGCATAATGAAAGAAAAACCCCTCAATACTAGCAGCAACTAGCTTACATGATTTGAATCTTAATCAAATCGCTTGCTATCATATGAGATGAGATATGACACAGCCAAAAGGTGAGAGGGAGGAGAGTTAGCCCAGTAGCAGACACAACACTCCCCCTCTCCAGTATAGTTTGTGTCATGTCATTTAGGGAATGGGTTCAAATCCAGTTCGATTCTCTAGTCACGACCTCTCTCCCCTCTCCTGGTGTCTTGGAGGGCTTATTAGAGACCAGCGCCTGTGTGAGAGTGGCCGAGTCGCCATCACCCATCTGTGTTCCCTCCCTTATACTGTGGAACCTGGCTGCCATCCACGGCAACGTCCACCAGAAATGAATTACATCCAAGGCTAGCATGCGGCTACTGCAGGTTCATGCTCTACAACATTTGCAGAGTACGACCCTACCTTACACAGAAAGCGGCACAGGTCCTAATCCAGGCACTTGTCATCTCCCGTCTGGATTACTGCAACTCGCTGTTGGCTGGGCTCCCTGCCTGTGCCATTAAACCCCTACAACTCATCCAGAACGCTGCAGCCCGTCTGGTGTTCAACCTTCCCAAGTTCTCTCATGTCACCCGCTCCTCCGCACACTCCACTGGCTTCCAGTTGAGGCTCGCATCTACTACAAGACCATGGTGCTTGCCTACGGAGCTGTGAGGGGAACAGCACCTCCTTACCTTCAGGCTCTGATCCTACACCCAAACGAGGGCACTACGTTCATCCACCTCTGGCCTGCTAGCTCCCCTACCGCTACGGAAGCACAGTTCCCGCTCAGCCCAGTCAAAGCTATTCACTGCTCTGGCACTCCAATGGTGGAACAAGCTCCCCCACGACGCCAGGACAGCAGAGTCACTGACCACCTTCCGGAGACACTTGAAACCCTACCTCTTTAAGGAATACCTGGAACAGTATAAACTAATCCTTCTTCCCCCACCCCCCATTTAAAAAAAAAAAGAAGAAAAAGTGGTTGTCCCACTGGCTATCATAAGTTGAATGCACCAATTTGTAAGTCGTTCTGGATAAGAGTGTCTGCTAAATGATGTAAATGTAAAATGCAACCTAACTCTCCTTTTCAATATATAATATGCCATTTAGCAGACGCTTTTATCCAAAGCGACTTACAGTCATGTGTGCATACATTTTTACGTATGGGTGGTCCCGAGGATCGAACCCACTACCCTGGCTTTACAAGCGCCATGCTTTACCAATTGAGCTACAGAGGACCACAGTACCAGCGATGCAAGGACATGCGCTATGTGTTGGCAATGACACAGGTCAAACGTTTTCTGTAAGTCTTCACAAGGTTTTCACACACTGTTGCTGGTATTTTGGCAGCTCTTTGGTCTTGGCCATAGTGGAGTTTGGAGTGTGACTGTTTGAGGTTGTGGACAGGTGTCTTTTATACTGATAACAAGTTCAAACAGGTGCCATTAATACAGGTAATGAGTGGAGGACAGAGGAGCCTCTTAAAGAAGAAGTTACAGGTCTGTGAGAGCCAGAAATCTTGCTTGTTTGTAGGTGACCAAATACTTATTTTCCACCATAATTTGCAAATAAATTCATTAAAAATCCTACAATGTGATTTTCTGGAGAAAAAAATTCTCAATTTGTCTGTCATAGTTGACGTGTACCTATGATGAAAATTACAGGCCTCTCTCATCTTTTTAAGTGGGAGAACTTGCACAATTGGTGGCTGACTAAATACTTTTTCCCCCCACTGTAAGTATTTGATACATCAGAAAAGCAGAACTTCATATTTGGTACAGAAACCTTTGTTTGCAATTACAGAGATCATACGTTTCCTGTAGGTCTTGACCAGGTTTGCACACACTGCAGCAGGGATTTTGGCCCACTCCTCCATACAGACCTTCTCCAGATCCTTCAGGTTTCGGGGCTGTCGCTGGGCAATACGGACTTTCAGCTCCCTCCAAATATTTTGTATTGGGTTCAGGTCTGGAGACTGGCTAGGCCACTCCAGGACCTTGAGATGCTTCTTACGGAGCCACTCCTTAGTTGTTGCCTTCTCACCAAGCTGCTTGCCTATTGTCCTGTAGCCCATCCCAGCCTTGTGCAGGTCTACAATTTTATCCCTGATGTCCTTACACAGCTCTCTGGTCTTGGCCATTGTGGAGAGGTTGGAGTCTGTTTGATTGAGTGTGTGGACAGGTGTCTTTTATACAGGTAACGAGTTCAAACAGGTGCAGTTAATACAGGTAATGAGTGGAGAACAGGAGGGCTTCTTAAAGAAAAACCAACAGGTCTGTGAGAGCCGGAATTCTTACTGGTTGGTAGGTGATCAAATACTTATGTCATGCAATAAAATGCAAATTAATTACTTAAAAATCATACAATGTGATTTTCTGGATTTTTGTTTTAGATTCCGTCTCTCACAGTTGAAGTGTACCTATGATAAAAATTACAGACCTCTACATGCTTTGTAAGTAGGAAAACCTGCAAAATCGGCAGTGTATCAAATACTTGTTCTCCCCACTGTATCTACAGTACATAGCACCAGCCCTCAAGTCATCTCCACGTCCTCCAAAACCCCTGCAGCTTCCTCCAGAGGTATTGATGTAAAAAAGTTGAAAAGGGTTTTCATGAAACATGCTCTGTCTAACAATACTTTTTCTCAAACTGCAGCACACAAAAGGAAGAGAAAAGCTCCACCGGTCACATCTGTCACGCCACCCATGCCACCACTCTCAGGTACTTCATCATCTGTTTTTCTCTCTCTCTCAGTTGTATCAGTTACTATTGTTGTTGAAGAACTTCTACATTTTGCAAAACCATATTAATCAAATTGTATTATTATTTTATTTTTTATAAAAGAAGACACCACCTGCTGTGCTCGCTGCAGGGAGCATGATCCGCCTGCAAGCTCCTCTCAGGAGTGTAGATCCGAGGTGCCATGGGTGTGCTGTGACTTCTGTCAGCACTGGTTCCACTGCAGATGTCTGCAGTGGGATCCAGAGGTAGCGGTGGAGCTGGATTTTTATTGTGATTTTTGTGACAATATAGGGATGGAGGTCGAGATTTAATTGTTTGTTTTGTTTGTGTTCATATGAAATTATTTATTTGTACAAAAAAAAAAAAAGTCTAAAATATAATATATATATATTTATTGAACCCATCTTGTGTATTTGTTCCTTTACTTTCCAAGTGCACCTCTGCAACACAAACTCCAACAGTGTTTTCATTGTTTATGTCAATGCACATAACTGAAATTAAAGTTTTATTTGATGTAAATTATTAATACTCATATTTTAGTATTCAACTGTTATCTACTTTCTCAAAACATAAGATTAATCTGTAAAACAAATGATGAGACATTATTTGGTTACAACACTGAATATGTTGGTGAAGAACCATTTTTTAAGAGTCCACAGGAGGGCGCACTGGGCTACGCAATGAAAAGTTGACAGGCAAGTCATTATTTTTTACCGGAAGGCTAGCCAACTAGTCAACTATCTAGTAAACACTTCGGGTACGTGGGTGGTGTCTCTTTTTTGAACAAAATTAAACTGATATATCTTGTAATTTAACAAAATAGTAAGGTGGCCAATAACTGGGGGCCGTATGCCGATAATACGGGACGTATTGTTTTGCTAAACCGCTTATCAAAAAGCTGATAATAGCATTTCCACTGAAATGTCAAACTTGCTAATCGCTAACATTTTTACGACACCAATAATCACATAACATTGATGGCTTGATCACAAGATAACACTGTTGAAGGTAATATCTTTCTTAAACGCTGTTGAATATGCCGATAATACAGGGTTCTACGCTAGTAAGAAGAGGTTCAAATCGGATGTTGGGTACGATATTTATTGAATATTATCTGAATCCCATCAATTAAAATGGCCAATTTGGGTGCAATCAATTAGCTTAATTTCTCAGATATAACATTTTATTCCAGCAAGATAATGTTTCTGGAATGCTCATCTTACCTGTTTCTATCTACAGAAACCATTTCAGAACAATCTGAGATGGTGGGTGTCATGGCTTGCTGAAATGACATGGAACAACTCTTGCTTTAAAGGCCCAGTGCAGTCAAAAACATGATTTTCCTGTGTTTTATATATATTTACACACTATGAGGTTGGAATAATACTGTGAAAATTATAATAATGCCCATTTAGTGTAAGAGCTGTTTGAAAAGATCGCCTGAAATCTCTGCCTGTTCAAACCTCTGCGAATAACAGCTAGTTTTCATGTTACATATCCCTCCCATTAGACTCGTCCAATTAGGCCACTCACTCAGACTACTCCCAGACAGTCCTAGCAAAATTCTTGCTTCAGAAATTGCTCTTTGCTAAGAAGCTATTTTTGTTTATTTTTGACAATTTAAATTTAAAACATTGACAGTAAGGTACTTGTTGTTACCCAGAAATGATTTGATATTGAGATCAAAACGGCTGCATTGGAACTTTAAATACTAGGCTAATTGCCTAGCATGTATAGCTTCAGCTATAGGTCTTTCATAGGGAATATACAGTGGTCCTACAACAATTGCAATGCATTGAAAGCTACACAACCATTACAATGCATTGAAAGCTACACCACTGTGCCAAATCGAGATTAAATGTCCAGTCTTTTGTGTAATCTTATGGTATGTGTTGTGTAATTTCAATACCAGTATGTTGAAAACATGAATGTATGCTGTGCCAAGATTAGGCTACATTTTCACTCTATTGTGTGTAGCGTGTTGTGTAATTCCACCTATATGTTGAGGCAATACATCATTGAGGACAGTAACCCACTTATGAAGGGCTGTACACCATTAAAGCCTTCTTAGCTACTGTGTGGGCTTCCATTTATCCCAATGCTACGCTCAGCCATGTATTTGACCATGCTAATCCGCTTACATACAGTACCTCTCGCCAACAAAATATAATTCCCCTCTTTTAATTGAACACCTCAAGGACATTAGTCAAACAAAGAAGTTATAGGACGTTCAAGAGCCCCCTCTCTTTTAAACGGAACACTTCAGAACGTCTTTATTGTCCTATTAGTGCTGGACAATAGGAAGGCCACCGCAGAAGCCTATATACCATGCCTCTGATAATTGACATGCCACAATAGCTAATAATAAATAACACAGGATCAATCCCAAGATCCTGATGGCCCTACATCACAATCAGCCAAAACTGGAACCAACACACAGGAGTGCTGGGTCATCATCACAAGAGGCTTCTGGCTGACCCCACAACAGAACCACCACCAGCAGTAGTCTGTTCTGTTGTCTCCGTCCATCCGACAGACTGTCCCCAAAGACCCTCTACCACTGACTGAACTCTGAGCCAAGGAGCTGCTTCATCCAATCTCTCTCTCTCTCACTCACTCACTCACTCCAGACAGAGCGCCTGTGTCCTGGGGCGAGCAGATGGTGGATCTGGCACACGGGCACTTGGATGGCATAGGCGGGAATCGCATCCGCAGGAAGACGCGAAAGCCAGAGTACTCTCTTTTTTCCTCTCTCATTTTCTGTCTCAGCACATTCACAGTGCTAGCTAATCAGTACAGTTTGTCCTCACCTCACAGTGTGGTGTTGAGACAACAATATGGGCCTTATTAGTCTGTAGAGCTTGTGATGAGTGGATATTAAGGCGCATATTGAAGAGGGGCTATTGTGAACCTCGGCTCCCAGCTTATGTAACTCAGTTTTTATTATAGGTAATCAAGGCGTAAAGAGGTGTTACATACAGTGGGGAAAAAAAGTATTTAGTCAGCCACCAATTGTGCAAGTTCTCCTACTTAAAAAGATGAGAGAGGCCTATAATTTTCATCATAGGTACACGTCAACTATGACAGACAAAATGAGATTTTTTTTCTCCAGAAAATCACATTGTAGGATTTTTAATGAATTTATTTGCAAATTATGGTGGAAAATAAGTATTTCAAAAGTTTCTCAATACTTTGTTATATACCCTTTGTTGGCAATGACACAGGTCAAACGTTTTCTGTAAGTCTTCACAAGGTTTTCACACACTGTTGCTGGTATTTTGGCCCATTCCTCCATGCAGATCTCCTGTAGAGCAGTGATGTTTTGGGGCTGTCGCTGGGCAACACGGACTTTCAACTCCCTCCAAAGATTTTCTATGGGGTTGAGATCTGGAGACTGGCTAGGCCACTCCAGGACCTTGAAATGCTTCTTACGAAGCCACTCCTTCGTTGCCCGGGCGGTGTGTTTGGGATCATTGTCATGCTGAAAGACCCAGCCACGTTTCATCTTCAATGCCCTTGCTGATGGAAGGAGGTTTTCACTCAAAATCTCACGATACATGGCCCCATTCATTCTTTCCTTTACACGGATCAGTCGTCCTGGTCCCTTTGCAGAAAAACAGCCCCAAAGCATAATGCTTCCACCCCCATGCTTCACAGTAGGTATGGTGTTCTTTGGATGCATCTCAGCATTCTTTCTCCTCCAAACACGACGAGTTGAGTTTTTACCAAAAAGTTCTATTTTGGTTTCATCTGACCATATGACATTCTCCCAATCCTCTTCTGGATCATCCAAATGCACTCTAGCAAACTTCAGACGGGCCTGGACATGTACTGGCTTAAGCAGGGGGACACGTCTGGCACTGCAGGATTTGAGTCCCTGGCGGCGTAGTGTGTTACTGATGGTAGGCTTTGTTACTTTGGTCCCAGCTCTCTGCAGGTCATTCACTAGGTCCCCCCGTGTGGTTCTGGGATTTTTGCTCACCGTTCTTGTGATCATTTTGACCCCACGGGGTGAGATCTTGCGTGGAGCCCCAGATCGAGGGAGATTATTAGTGGTCTTGTATGTCTTCCATTTCCTAATAATTGCTCCCACAGTTGATTTCTTCAAACCAAGCTGCTTACCTATTGCAGATTCAGTCTTCCCAGCCTGGTGCAGGTCTACAATTTTGTTTCTGGTGTCCTTTGACAGCTCTTTGGTCTTGGCCATAGTGGAGTTTGGAGTGTGACTGTTTGAGGTTGTGGACAGGTGTCTTTTATACTGATAACAAGTTCAAACAGGTGCCATTAATACAGGTAACGAGTGGAGGACAGAGGAGCCTCTTAAAGAAGAAGTTACAGGTCTGTGAGAGCCAGAAATCTTGCTTGTTTGTAGGTGACCAAATACTTATTTTCCACCATAATTTGCAAATAAATTCATTAAAAATCCTACAATGTGATTTTCTGGATTTTTTTATTCTCAATTTGTCTGTCATAGTTGACGTGTACCTATGATGAAAATTACAGGCCTCTCTCATCTTTTTAAGTGGGAGAACTTGCACAATTGGTGGCTGACTAAATACTTTTTTCCCCCACTGTAAACCTTATATAGTGGCTTATTATGACTGGTAAAGAGGTGGGGAAACATTTCAAACCATGACACAGCTGATACATGTGCATGGTTACAAGCTTGATATGGCCTTTCTACAGTACATCAATACTAGTCTCTCTAATAGATCTCATCTCGAACATCTAACATCTGGAGATGAGATGATGGCCAACGACAACAGCCTTCTCTCACTTTCCATGACTGGTGACTAGAAACCATACGCTGCACAGAGAAATCATCAGCTAGCTACAGTGTGCTGTGCCAGTGAGTCTTGGCACCAAGAGGGACCTGAGTCTTTCTAATTCCAAACCTTTCTGTCAGTGCCACTGGTGATGATCTGGTACTCCTCAGGGTGGTAGCAGACACTTCTGAACAGAGTGTTGGCCAGGACCACCTGATTCCTCACAAAACGCCTGCAGCGGGAGGACGAGAGGGAGGGAGGGGACCAGGGAGAGAGAGAAAGAAAGAGATAGAGAGAGAAGGAGAGCAAGAGACTTGAAATGAATGTTGAACACAGGAAACACATGAATGGAGGAGTGGTATTAATGGTTGTGGTAGTGGTAGTAATCATGTGTGTTGAAAGCCTCCCATAGTGGGAAGCCAATGCAATCAGACAGTGAGGGATAAATGATTAAGGGCATGGGGTAAAGAAGTGTGTCTGTGCGTGCTTGCACATCTACGTGTGTTCATGGATTTGAGCATGCGTACATACATGTGTCACACCCTGATCTGCTTCACCTGTCTTTGTGATTGCTTCCACCCCCCTCCAGGTGTCACCCATCTTCCCCATTATCCCCAGGGTATTTATACCTGTGTTCTCTGTTTGGCTGTTGACAGTTAGTTTTGTTTTGTCAAGCCTACCAGTGGTTTTCCCCTTGCCCCTGTCTTTCTCAAGTTCCTGTTTTCCCGGTTTTGACCATTCTGCCTGCCCTGACCCTGAGCCTGCCTGCTGTTCTGTACTTTCTGGACTCTGATCTGGATTACTGACCTCTGCCCGCCCTTGACCTGTCGTTTGCCTGCCCCCTGTTTTTGTAATAAACATTTGTTACTTTGACACTGTCTGCATCTGGGTCTTCTCCTGAAACGTGATAACGTGTGTGTGTGTGTGTGTACATGAGAATGTGCATTTGAACTCACACCAAGTCCCAGATGATGCAGGCCCCGTCAGAGCTGGCGGTGACACACTCCTTGTCGTTGCTCTTGATCTTGATGCTGGTGACGGTGGCTTTGTGCTCCTTCATGGTCTCAATGAGCCGGTGACAGCCCTGCAGGATCTCCCACACACGCACCTGCAACAGGCCAGAGAGGGACACTAGGTCTCAATACAATGTTGTTGAGGAACCCCTCTAAAACATTGTTTCAAATATGTATGTAATAAAGAAAATATGTTTTCTGGGGAGTTTTTTTGTGAGGAGGAAGGGGGAAAAAGGAAGTGCTGTCACATTCATGTGAGAACACTTTTTTAAAATGGTGGTTAATTAATACTGGTGGTTATTAATCTATGCTCTCTCTTTAAATATAGACTAAAAGGTGTCCTGTGCCATGCCAGGGTGACTTTTCATCTGACCTGTCCCTCTCCTCCTCCACTAATGATCCTCTTGCAGTCCCTGGTGCCAGCGATGGCCGTCACGCCCATGCTGTGGGCATTGTGGATGACCAGCATGGCTTTGCCAGTCTCCGGGGCAAACACACGGATCTTCCCATCGTTCCAGGCTGGAAAACAATTGGAACAGGAAAACTATATTAGATGGGAATAGTCGATACACGTACAAGTATTTCTATATTGAGATTGTGCTATAATGTGCTGTGATGATAGCCTGGTTCCAGATCCATTTGTGCTATCATGCCAAACACTGTGGCCATTCAGCAGTCTTTGGCATGACAAGGAGTGGCATGATGGCCCAAACAGACTGGCACCCAGGCTACCGTGAAGATTGTGGGCTCAGTTCCTTATATAGGACGTGTGTCTTAACTGTAAATGGCTGGAATAAAAATTTACAGTAGATAATCAAATCATTTATTATTATTATCATGACTATCAACCCTAAACCATTATCAACATTCAAGGCTCCAACAATGAGAAGGAATATCAGGCACATTCACACTCTCTCATAGAAAATACTGTAATTATTTGTGCTCCATAATAATTTACGCTAGTCCATCATCGTTCTAACTTAAGACGATGCCATATGCTGCATTGATGACGTACCATCCCTCCCTAGTGTAGTGCTAGCCACATCAGGGTTGTGGGTTCGATTCCCGCATGGACCACATATACAGTGCGTGTGTGTGTGTCTACGCGTTTGTGTATGCATGTGTGTGTGTATGCGCAATAATAATAATAATAATAATAATAATAAGCCATTTAGCAGACGCTTTTATCCAAAGCGACTTACAGTCGTGCGTGCATACATTTTTGTGTATGGGTGGTCCCGGGGATCGAACCCACTACCTTGGCGTTACAAGCGCCGTGCTCTACCAGCTGAGCTACAGAGGAAGTGTGTGTATGCGTGTGTGTGCACTTAATTGTGTGTGTGTTCATCTTTTTAACGACCCCATTGGCATACAGAACTACTATTGGTTCCTGCCTACCGCTGATGATGCTGTGTCCGTCGATCATGAAGTCCAGGGCGTTGCAGGTCATGTTGGGCACGGAGATCCGCAGCAGCTCCTTGGAGGTCTCGGCATGCCACACTCTGATGTCATCCTGGGAACACGTGGCAAATAGCTCAGACGAACCACTGGGAGAGATACAGACAGATCACTGGAATAAGTTTGTGGGCAGTCATTCTGCACTTTAGTCTATGGAACAGGAGTTACCTTGTCCCAGAGCCAAAGGCTATAATACATGTTTATGCTTTAAACATGGTCATATCGCCCTCTAGTGGGAGTAAATGGGCAATGACAGCAAAGCATGAAGGTAGACGAAAGCAATGTTGTTTGAGGTGGAGATAGGTAAAGACAGCTATATATTTGAGGTGACATATGGCAATCAGGTAGTAGTGAAAATAGAATGTGTGCTATAAAACAATATTGTGGGAAAAAAAGTGAATCACATACAGTATGTAATCTTGTCTCTAAATTTGTGCCTTTATCACTCACAAAGGGAAGGCCACGTCGTTGACGGCACTGTTGTGACTGGTGGCGATCAGCTCCTCTTTGAAGTCTGTGTAGCCAAAACGGTAGATCTGAGACGCCTCCGTCCCTGCAAAGAACTGGTGGCCCTCGCCTCTCACAGCGATGGACGTCACTCCCCCCTCCAACTGAACCTTCCTATCAGAGTTAGAAGATGAAGGGCAGAATGCCACAGTGAGTACATCATGTATTTCTACACATAGCGTTAAAAGGCCCACTATGTAATAAAAAATGAAATAAAATCTCAGCCCCACCACTTGGTTTGCCATGAAGCTGAGGGGCTGAAGAAATGTAACAACTCTAATGTATAGATTAGGCTATGGATGCAACATGACAGTTTTAGATAGATGATATAGACCCAGTGGTTCTCAACTGGTGGATTGAGGCCCACATTTGGGTCACGGGAGTCTGAATTTAAACTACTAATACAAGGTAGAAAGTGTGTATAAATTATAATGAAAATAATTGTTTTTATAATTTATTCTCAGAATGTTTTTGTTGTATTGTCATTATAGAGCTATTAGCTGCACTATTTAGCAAATGTGGTTAATTTTGTGGTCTCAAACAAGTGAGCTTGCCAACCTCCATCAAGAATATGAGCAATATGGATTTATTGACAATGAAAAAGTTGTGAATGTTGTTCGCTTGTCTAATATACAATGAACACGCAACAATTTCAAAGATTTTAATGTGTTACAGTTCATTTAAGGAAATCAGTTAATTGAAATAAATTCATTAGGCCCTAATCGATGGATTTCATATGACTGGGAATCAAGTAGATTGCAAGGTGGGCACTTTGACTGACAGATTGTGTCCAGCCCAGAGGATGCAAAGTTGCATTCATTAATGGGTCTGGACCGAACCCACCTCTGGATGGCTTGGTATGTGGACAAATGGGATCTCATCCAATACATGATTGTTGACAGATGTGGTTGTTCTTATCTCATATGTCAACCTGCAGTACTTACTTGATGGTTTTGAAGTTAGCTCCAGAGCACAAAGTGAACATGCCATCCCCAGAGCCCACCAGGATGTCCCCAGAATTCAGCACCTTCAGTGTGTTCACACCCTGCACCAAAAAGACAGAGGGACAGCTGTATCAAATCTCAACTACAGTTGAGGATCTCAGAGATACGAACATGTGGAAGTCGCTCAGGACACTGAAATGACCCACCTTGCTGAATTTCTGTTTTCGTGGCCCACAGCTGTTGAGGAGGCGGGTCTTCAGGTTGACCTTCAGGATGTCACCACTGGTGGTTCCGCAGTAAAATAAATGGTCGTCGTCTGGGATCTGTGATGCAATGGGGCCACCTTAGAAGTAAGTCTTACGTCTCTACCTGTACTACTTTGAGAGGCTGCTTGATATGCCGGGAAATACTTTATCTTTATCTTAATTCAGAGATCAATTGACCTCAGACAACAATTTACATTTGAATTAAATAACAGGAACCTGAACTTGTGTGTTTACAGATTTTCTCATTAATAAACCATAACAAGTATTGATGAATAGTCTACCTTTGCTTTGTCTCAAAACGTACTTTGAGTGGTTAAGAATGGGATGTACAATATCATTTTGGGGGGCATTTGGCACCATTGTGAAATTTACTCACTGGTTGAATCAATGTTGTTTCCACGTCATTTCAATGAAATGACATTGAAGCAACGAGGAATCGATGTTGAATTGACGTCTGTGCCCAGTGGGTACTCAATCGGTACCACTATTACTTTGAGCTGTGTCTGCTTTCTATGGTTTAGCTCACCTCAATGCATTTGACAATCCTCTTCAGCTGTCCTGTCTGGCATTCCGTAGGCCGGATCTTCCTATTTGGAAGGTCTAGCTCCCAAACACGCATCGTGCCACTTCAGGGAAACAACATATCACAAGTGTGTTAATTCGAAAGTATTAATAATAAACGGTATTTATTTAATCATTCTGCGTCATGTTCAGGTCCAATAAAGATCAGTTCTGATTGACAAAGTAATATTCTATTCTATCAGCAACCCAGAGTCTCTGCAAGTCACTCACTTGCCAGCGGAGATGAAGATGTTGTCGCTGTGGTTGGTGTACTCAATGGTGAGGCAGTGGCCCGCACTGTGGGCAGAGGCGGGGCTACCACAGATCGCTTCTTTGCTCTCAAGGTTCCACACCACAATGCTGAAAACACAAACCATTCACATTTACAGACATTCTGTAGTACAACCTACAAAATGACTGTTGAAATTCTTCCAATGCGAAAGTAGTTTTTAAAGTCACACAATCATCCAAAGCCTGCTGGATCTAATCAATCTAATCAAAGGTCTGAGGACCGGCTGATTAGTAGGATAAGGTGTGTTATAGCAGGACTGGAACAAAATTCTGCGGGAGGGGAGCTCCCCGCAAGAGGAGGGTTGGCCACCCCTTATCAAGCTACCTCTTACCTTCCATCATCCTGTCCACCCAGGGACACAAGGTACTTGTCATTGGGGGAGAAGGCAAGTCCCTCCACCTTCGCTTTGTGGAGCTGTAGTCTGGCGTGGATCACTCTCTTCTCATAATCCCAGATGATCAGATCAGCCTGGAACAACATAGATTAACTCTGTAAACTACTGCCATTCATGTGTTTCCTATGTTCAACATTCATCTGTAGCCTCTCCCTCCCTGCCTCCATCCAATTGTGTCTGTCTGTCTGTCTGTCTGCCTCTCTCTCTGATATCAAGAGGTGAAACATGACTGCTCTCTTATTATGAGAAAGTTTCACTGTCTTTATAGTTTACCTTGAAGCCCATGAAGGTGACCTGTCCAGAAGCGATGTAGCGTCCGCTTTTGGACACAGTGACACAGGAGACGTTGTTGGTGTGTCCATGGAGGAACTCCTGTTTGCCGTCTTTCAGGCTCTTCAAAATAACAGTGCAACCAAGAGGATAGATGAAGTGTTCTCTGTCTGGGTGCACTCTGAGGCCAGAAAAGACATGTCCTGTCAAAAAAAAAAGTAAAAGCAAGTAAAGACATGCTTTAAACCAGAACTAAAGATGAGGATATTATTATGATTTAACCTAACTTGGTTGTCTGAAGCATTCAGGATGTCACGATCGTCGTAGAGAGTAGACCAATGCGCAGCGTTGGTTGCGAACATACTTAACTTTATTATCTTAAGTGATAATATAACAACAAAACAATAAACGAAACGTGCAGTCCTACGGTTAACACAGAAACAAACCAAACGGAAACAAGATCCCACAAACACTAAGGGAAACAGACTGTTTAAATATGGCTCCCAATCAGAGACAACCAGCAACAGCTGACACTCGTTGCCTCTGATTGGGAGCCACTCTGGCCAACATAGAAATACCACAACTAGAACTCCCACACAGAACATAAACACATAGAATTTACACACCCTGGCTCAACATATAGAGTCCCCAGAGCCAGGGTGTGACAGTACCCCCCCCAAAGGCGCAGACTGCGACCGCGCCTGAACATAAACAAACCAGGGGAGGGCTGGTTGGGCATTCCTCCTCGGAGGCGGTTCCGGCTCCGGGCTTGACCACCACCCTCTAATAATCCCCCCGTAGCGCCCCTGGTCCGGTCTGGCCCCGCTGGCTGGAGCTGGACTGGACCTCGTAGGAGCGGATTGCTTCAGCTCCGGTGTGGAGCAGCTGACCGGTACCTGACCAGGCACCGGTGACCCAGGCACGGGTTGTGCCGGACTGACAACGCACACCCCTGGCTTGGTGCGTGGAGCAGGAACGGGCCGGACCGGACTGACAATGCGCACCCCTGGCTTGGTGCGTGGAGTAGCAACGGGCCGGACCGGGCTGACGATGCGCACCCCTGGCTTGGTGCATGGAGCAGGAACGGGCCGGACCGGGCTGACGATGCGCACCCCTGGCTTGGTGCGTGGAGCAGCAACGGGCCGGACCGGGCTGACGATGCGCACCGCTGGCTTGGTGCGTGGAGCAGGAACGGGCCGGACCGGGCTGACGATGCGCACCCCTGGCTTGGTGCGTGGAGCAGGAACGGGCCGGACCGGGCTGACGATGCGCACCCCTGACTTGGTGCGTGGAGCAGGAACGGGCTGGACCGGGCTGACGACTCGCACCCCTGGCTTGGTGCGAGTGGCAGGAACAGGCCGGGCCGGGCTGGCGACGCGCACCGTAGCTTTGGTGCGAGTGGCAGGAACAGGCCGGGCCGGGCTGGCGACGCGCACCGTAGCTTTGGTGCGAGTGGCAGGAACGGGCCGGGCTGGCGACGCGCAACGTAGGCTTGGTGCGAGTGGCAGGAACAGGCCGGGCCGGGCTGGCGACGCGCACCGTAGGCTTAGTGCGAGGGGCAGGAACAGGCCGGGCCGGGCTGGCGACGCACACCGTAGGCTTGGTGCGAGGGGCAGGAACAGGCCGGGCCGGGCTGGCGACGCGCACCGTAGGCTTGGTGCGAGGGGCAGGAACAGGCCGGGCTGGGCTGGCAACGCGCACCGTAGGCTTGGTGCGAGGGGCAGGAACAGGCCGGGCCGGGCTGGCGACGCACACCGTAGGCTTGGTGCGGGGAGCAGGGACAGGCCGGGCTGGGCTGGCGACGCGCACCGTAGGCTTGGTGCGAGGGGCAGGAACAGGCCGGGCCGGGCTGGCGACGCACACCGTAGGCTTGGTGCGGGGAGCAGGAACAGGCCGGGCTGGGCTGGCGACGCGCACCGTAGGCTTGGTGCGAGGGGCAGGAACAGGCCGGGCCGGGCTGGCGACGCACACCGTAGGCTTGGTGCGGGGAGCAGGAACAGGCCGGGCTGGGCTGGCGACGCGCACCGTAGGCTTGGTGCGAGGGGCAGGAACAGGCCGGGCCGGGCTGGCGACGCACACCGTAGGCTTGGTGCGGGGAACAGGAACAGGCCGGGCCGGGCTGGCGACGCGCACCGTAGGCTTGGTGCGAGGGGCAGGAACAGGCCGGGCCGGGCTGGCGACACGCACCGTAGGCTTGGTGCGAGGAACAGGAACAGGCCGGACAGTACTGGGAACACACACCACTGGCCTTAAACGGGGATCAGGAACGGGCCGGACCGGACTGGCAATACACCTCAGTACCTCTCGCCGTGCCTCTACATCTTCCTTCCCTCTTCTCACCAATGGCTCCCGTAACCTGGTGGCCTTCTGAACTCGCCCCTTATATGCCTCCAGCAGCCCCGTCGTCCATGCCATGTGCCCCCCCCCTAAATATTTTTTGGGGTTGCCTCTCGTCCGTCCGACGACGACACTGTTGACGCCGTTGCTCCTCTCTCCGTCGCACCTCTACCGTCTCACTCCATGGACGGCGATCCATCCCGGCCTGGATTTCCTCCCAGGTCCAGGACCCCTGCCCGTCCAATATTTGCTCCCACGTCCAGGCTGCCTGCTCCTGGACACGCTGCTTGGTCCTGGTATGGTGGGATCTTCTGTCACGATCGTCGTAGAGAGTAGACCAATGCGCAGCGTTGGTTGCGAACATACTTAACTTTATTATCTTAAGTGATAATATAACAACAAAACAATAAACGAAACGTGCAGTCCTACGGTTAACACAGAAACAAACCAAACGGAAACAAGATCCCACAAACACTAAGGGAAACAGACTTTTAAATATGGCTCCCAATCAGAGACAACCAGCAACAGCTGACACTCGTTGCCTCTGATTGGGAGCCACTCTGGCCAACATAGAAATACCACAACTAGAACTCCCACACAGAACATAAACACATAGAATTTACACACCCTGGCTCAACATATAGAGTCCCCAGAGCCAGGGTGTGACACAGGAGAAACTCATGAAGGTAAACAACCATGATGGATAGAGTTTTGAAGGATACTGAACTGAACAGCACATTACAAATTATTTAGTTATCTTTAGACACATTGAAAATATGTCAAACTAGCTGAAAACCCCACTAGCAACAAGCAACAGTAGTAGCTACCATAGCATGTCCTGATCCTAGTGACAACAGCCATATCACTCAGGGCAACAAATAACGTTAGCTAACGTGTGTATTACTTGTTACCAGATAACTTGGTTTGCTCAGCTGAATATGTTAGCTAGCTAGCTAGCTAAATAGGCTGGGAGGATATTTTACATTACCATTGAACCCAATTACAGCCTCCAGCTCAAGCCGTGGAATCTCTTGTGCATCTCCAGCCATGATTCAACAAAATTGTACCTCTTTTTTACTTTCAAGGTGTTTACACCAAGTCTTCAAACTTGTAAAATCGTCTCGAGCTTCAGCTATCTTTCTCTCATTTGCCATCCAGACAAACAACCGTTGCCTAGCAACTTAACAATTTGTTTGGGTCAGTTTCTATGGTGACATAGTAGTTTCCTCATGCAGCCGGAGGAAAAATGTGGGTGTACTTTTGGAGTGTGATTGGTCCATAGAGATCGGTTTTGTCTAGAAGGGTTACAGCTTTTGTCAAAATTGAATATAGAAGGTTTAAGAAAACGTACGTAGCAGGTTAGGATAATTAACGTAGCAGGTTAGTGAATTGGGTTAAGTTAGGAAAATAGTTAGGGTAAGGGTAAGGGTTAGCTAAAATACACCAAAAAACAACAACTTTTGAAGTCAATTTGACAAAAGCTGTATTCCATCTATACATGGCTAGATTTCCTATTAAATTAGAAATCCTCAAAGTTCCAGAATGCAGTGAAAATGGAAGCTATTGTGGTCAGGGAGGAATCCAAACCAGTCTGGAATGAACGGCAGTAAAGGCATAGGTCAGGGGTGTCAAACTCATTTTAGCTCAGGGGCCACATGGAGGAAAATCTATTCCCAAGTGGGCCGGACCGGAAAAATCATGGTATATATAACTTAAAAACAACAACTTCAGATTGTTTTCTTTGTTTTAATACGATCAACATACAACATAAAGCTGGAGCCTGAGGACAGTGTGTCCAAAATAGTACAAGCACAACATCACTATTAATCATAAAACACGTCAAGTTTATTTGAAAATTCTAAAGAAAAAGAACACACAAACACACAATGCCTCAGTGATTAACAGAACTGTTTCACAGATCACAGAACTATATCAGGGTGTCATTTCTCAGGCAGAAATGTAGATAAAAATAATGAAATCCTGTTCCCCAAACAAGTGCAAGAACCACAGAGTCAAGAATAGGTTAAATATTCAAATAAAATAAAATCAATTAAAAACAATAGCACATCAACATAAAAACATATAAACATAAATCTGAAAGCGTTGCTCAAACTCCCGTAACAGTCCAGTTATTTTATCTTTGAACCGCTTCATGTCTGCCACATGTTGGGTCGCGCACACATTTTTCAGACAGGGGAAGTGAGCTGCATCACCACCGGCAAGTTGCGTCTCCCACAATGACAGCTTCAACTTGAAAGAACGTATGCTGTCATAATACTGCGTGACAACTTTGTTGCGCCCTTGCAGCTGTTTGTGCAAGTTATTCAGGTGCTCTGTAACATCCACCATAAATGCAAGGTCCGGCATCCATTCTGCGGAATGAAATTCTAACACTGGTTTGCCCTTTTCTTCCATGAACTGTTCAATTTCTTCTCGTAAATCAAAGAAACGCCTCAGCACAGCACCTCGGCTTAACCATCTTACCTCAGTGTGGTATAGCAGGCCATAGATGTGGTCTTTCTCTCTGAGAAGGCTGTCAAACTGACGGTGATTCAGGCTTCTGGATCGGATGAAATTAACAGTTTGGATGACCACCTTCATGACGTTATCCATCTTACTGACTTGCAACACAAAGCCTCCTGGTGCAAAATACAGTGAAAAGTCAAAAAATCACGTCCTCCATTTGAAGCCACTGCGATTTCATTAGCAATGAGGTAGCTAGCTTTCACTGCAGCGTCACTGATGTCTCGGCTGTGAGTAAACACAGACTGCTGTTTCTTCAGACCCGCCAACAGTTCATTCACCTTCTCTCATCTCCGCTGTCCTTGAAAGTTGTCATATTTGTCGGCATGAAGACTCACATAGTGGCGACGAAGGTTATATTCTTTCAACACTGCAACATGCTCTGAACACACCAAACATACAGCTTTCCCATTCAATTCCGTGATTAAATAGGATGACCATTTTTCTTGGAACACTCTGCACTCTGCGTCCACTTTTCTCTTTTTTGACAGAGACATATTGGGGCAATGAGGGTGCCAAAGCACATAATGTTAAAAGCAGAAGCCGTAATAAATATCGCGGGCAAAACAAAGTAGCTCATTGGCTGCACGTGCACGTGCTTGACCTACTTGCTCTGCCCCGGTATAAACAGTTTGCTTGCTTAACACAATTGCTATTGCGCCATCCAGTGGACGCAATTGGAACAGCAGTTTATTTTATTGAAAAATTGCAGCGCATTTTTATACTTAAAAAAAAATTAAAACAATATTATTATTATTATTTTTTTTTTTTTAATCATCTCGCGGGCCGGATTAAACCCGTTTGCGGGCCTCATCCGGCCCGCGGGCCTTACGTTTGACACCCCTGGCATAGGTGATACATTTCCTGCTTTTACTTACGCGGGAAAATAGAAGTAAGGCATATGAAATATCAGAAATTATGTAATATAAGTATTGTCAACCAAAAATATTATCATATAATTATAAATAAAGTTTATACGGACAGGTTTTATACACATTTTCTGTATAAATAGCCTATAACATATGCGTAAACAGACCATAATAAATGTCTAAATTTGTGTTTTCTTGGAAAGTGTTATTATATGATACAATATCAGTATTTGTTGCAATTACAACTTGTCTAAGTCCTATCATCAACTGATTTCAGCCGGTGTATGCTATGGATTGACTGCGTTGTTTGAATGTAATGTTGCCATATTGGCAGTTATTTTGAAAAATGTATGGGATCACTCCTATAAAAACTGTCTGGTTAGCTAGCTAACAAACAGTGCAGATAATCTTTAAATTCAGTGTTTTACACTCTTATCAGAGCATTGGCAAACCATGGTTGACCAACTCCCTTACCAAAATGTCTGACCCTAAATATTACCATCATAAGAAGGTTCATGTCCATTCTAGTATTCTAATACCTAATTCTGTGGATTGGTCATTGCCAGGCAGCTAGCCAGGGAGCTAGGTTGAAGACAGAGACAGTTTTAGAAATGTTTACAAATTAATAAAAAATGAAAAGCTGAAGAGTATTCAACCCTTTTGTTATGGCAAGCCTAAATAAATTCAGGAGTAAAAACGTGCTTAACAAGTCACAATAAGTTGCATGGACTCACTCTGTGTGCAATACCCCATTTCTGTACCCCACACATACAATTATCTGTAAGGTCCCTCAGTCGAGCAGTGAATTTAGAATACAGATTCAACCACAAAGACCAGGGAGGTTTTCCAATCTTTCGCAAAGTAGGTCACCTATTGGTAGTTGGGTAAAAAAAAAAAAAAGACATTGAATATCCGTTGAGCATGGTGCAGTTATTAATTTAACACCTTGGATGGTGTATCAATACACCCAGTCAATGGTGATTTTAAAACAGTTACAGAGTTTAATGGCTGTGATAGGAGATAACTGAGGATGGATCAACAACACAAACATATAAATCCACAATACTAACATAAATGACAGAGTAAAAAGAAGGAAGCTTGTACAGAATTGTAAAAAATATTCCAAAACATGCATCCTGTTTGCAACAAGGCACTAAAGTAATACTGCAAAAATGTGGCAACACTTTGCAAATCCAACACAAAACATCACTGAGTACCACTCTTCATATTTTCAAGCATGGTGGTGCTGCATCATGTTATAGGTATGCTTGTCATCGGCATGAACTAGGGAGGTTTTTTTTGAATAAAAAGAAACAGAATATAGCTAAGAACAGGGAAAATCCTAGAGAAAACCCGGTTCAGTCTGCTTTCCAACAGACACTGGGAGACAAATTCACTTTTCAGCAGGACAATAACCTAAAACACAAGGCCAAATATACACTGGAGTTGCTTACCAAGAAGACATTGAAGGTTCCTGAGAGGCCTAGTTACAGTTTTGACTTAAATCGTCTTGAAATCCATGGCAAGACTTGAAAATGGCTGTCTAGCAATGATCAACAACCAACTTGACAGAGCTTGACAATTTTTTAAAAGAATAATGGGCAAATATTGTACAATCCAGGTGTGCAATGCTCTTAGAGACTTACCCAGAAAGACTCACAGCTGTAGTAGCTGCCAAAGGTGATTGTAACATGTATTGACTCAGGGGGTTGAATACTTATCTAATCAACATATATTACTATATTATTTTCCAATAATAATAATAATAAAAACTGTTTTTTTTATTCTTCCACTTTGACATTACAGAGTATTTTGTGTAGATTGTTTACAAAAAATTGCAATTAAATCAATTTTAATCCCACTTTGTAACACAACAACATTCAAGGGGTGTGAATACTTTCTGAAGGCCCTGTATATCCTTCCTTTGCAACCCCATTAATACATGCTCAAATATACATGCTCATCGAGAAGTGTATGAATAATAATCAAACAAATATAGTATACAATTCAAATACCTAATGCTAATAAATTACAAAACATACTTGAAAGAAAGAACTGTGACAGAAATATATATTTTTAAAATATAAATACTATACAGTGCATTTGGAAAGTATTGGGGGCGGCAGGTAGCTTAGTGATTAAGAGCGTTGTGCCAGTAACCGAAAGGTCGCTGGTTCTAATCCCCGAGCTGACTCGGTGAAAAATCTGTCGATGTGCCCTTGAGCAAGGCACTTAACCCAAATTGCTCATGTAAGTCGCTCTGGATAAGAGCGTCTGCTAAATGACTAAAATGTAAATGTAAATGTATTCAGACCCCTTGACTTTTTCCACATTTTGTTACGTTACAGCCTAATTCTAAAATGGATTAAATAAAAACAAATCCTCATCAATCTACACACAATACCCCATAATGACAAAGCAAAAACAGGTTTGTAGAAATGTTTGCAAATTTATTAAAAATAAAAAACAGAAATACCTTATTTACATTAGTATTCAGACCCTTTGCTATGAGACTCGAACATTGAGCTCAGGTGCATCCTGTTTCTATTGATCATCCTTAAGATGTTTCTACAACTTACCTGTGGTAAATCCAATTGATTGGACATGATTTGGAAAGGCACACACCTGTCTATATAAGGTCCCACAGTTGACAGTGCATGTCAGAGCAAAAACCAAGCCATGAGGTCGAAGGAATTGTCCGTAGAGCTCCGAGACAGGATTGTGTCGAGGCACAGATCTGGAGAAGGGTACCAAAAAATGTCTGCAGCATCGGAGGTCCCCAAGAACACAGTGGCCTCCATCATTCTTAAATGGAAGAAATTTGGAACCACCAACACTCTTCCTAGAGCTGGCCGCCCAGCCAAACTGAGCAATCAGGGGAGAAGGACCTTGGTCAGGGAGGTGACCAAGAACCTGATGGTCACTCTGACAGAGCTCCAGAGTTCCTCTGTGGAGATGGGATAACCTTCCAGAAGGACAACCATCTCTGCAACACTCCACCAATCAGGCCTTTATGGTAGAGTGGCCAGACAGAAGCCACTCCTCAGTAAAAGACACATGACAGCCCGCTTGGAGTTTGCCAAAAGGCACCTAAAGGACTCTCAGACCATGAGAAACAAGATTCTCTGGTCTTATGCAAGATTGAACTATTTGGCCTGAATGCCAAGCGTCACGTCTGGAGGAAACCTGGCACCATCCCTACGGTGAAGTATGGTGGTGGCAGTATCATGCTGTGGGGATTTTTTTCAGCGGCAGGGACTGGGAGACTAGTCAGCAAGATCCTTGATGGAAACCTGCTCCAGAGTACTCAGGACCTCAGACTGGGGCAAAGGTTCACCTTCCAACAGGACAACAACCCTAAGCACACAGCCAAGAAAACGCAGGAGTGGCTTCGGGACAAGTCTCTGAATGTCCTTGAGTGGCCCAGCCAGAGCCCGGACTTGAATCCGATCTAACATCTCTGGAGAGACCTGAAAAGAGCTGTGCATCGACGCTCCCCATCCAACCGGACAAAGCTTGAGAGGATCTGCAGAGAAGAATGGGAGAAACTCCCTAAATACAGGTGTGCCAAGCTTGTAGCATCATACCCAAGAAGACTCGAGGCTGTATTCGCTGCCAAAGGTGCTTCAACAAAGTACTGAGTAAAGGGTCTGAATACTTATGTAAATGTGATATTTCCGTATTTTATTTTGAATAAATTTGCAAAAATGTCTAAAAACCTGTTTTTGCTTTGTCATTATTAACCTATCAATTTTAGAATAAGGCTGTAACGTAACAAAATGTGGAAAAAGTCAAGGGGTCTGAATACTTTCCGAATGCACTGTAAAAACCCTATTTGGTTTAGCCTATGGGTCATTGTCATCAAACACACACATAACTAAGATGAATTGTGTGAATAGAAAATATTTCATTATAAACGTTAAGAAACATACAGTCTAATCAAATGGACAACGGAATTAGGAGAAACCAGTTCATATAAGAGGGGGAAACATATGTCAGCCTCCTCTTTTAATTACAGTAAGAGAAGTAGTGTGAGAAAGAGATGGAGTTTTGAATTCCCCACACTTCCAGCGTCCGGATCTTGAAGTGTCCCTTGCAGAGAGGGGCGCTCTCGAAGGTGTCACATCGCTCCGTGTAGCCCCCCTCCAGATCAGCCTGGAGGCAGAGAGCGTGACCCCCATCGCCACCTGGCGAGACAAACACATCACACTCACTGTAAAAGACGTTAGCATTGAATTTACAGTAATAACAGCAGCCCACTTCTAGTTGCAGCACTTCCCAGTAATGTTGACATCAATACAAAGAATACAAAGGGTGAATACAAAGAATATGCCATGTGAGAAACCCTAAGCTGTTTTCCCTACCCCCATCGTCAAAGTCGCTGCAAAAACTATTGTACGTGTCAAGAATGCTCCTTTGGCCATCAGGCCTATCCAGGTTTCAGAACGTTATTGATCACTCTTTGTGACACATTGCCAATGACTCTGAACAGCAAACACTTTAGCCTACATACAGTGGGGGAAAAAAGTATTTAGTCAGCCACCAATTGTGCAAGTTCTCCCACTTAAAAAGATGAGAGAGGCCTGTAATTTTCATCATAGGTACACGTCAACTATGACAGACAAAATGAGGAAAAAAAATCCAGAAAATCACATTGTAGGATTTTTAATGAGTTTATTTGCAAATTATGGTGGAAAATAAGTATTTGGTCAATAACAAAAGTTTCTCAATACTTTGTTATATACCCTTTGTTGGCAATGACACAGGTCAAACGTTTTCTGTAAGTCTTCACAAGGTTTTCACACACTGTTGCTGGTATTATGGCCCATTCCTCCATGCAGATCTCCTCTAGAGCAGTGATGTTTTGGGGCTGTCGCTGGGCAACACGGACTTTCAACTCCCTCCAAAGATTTTCTATGGGGTTGAGATCTGGAGACTGGCTAGGCCACTCCAGGACCTTGAAATGCTTCTTACGAAGCCACTCCTTCGTTGCCCGGGCGGTGTGTTTGGGATCATTGTCATGCTGAAAGACCCAGCCACGTTTCATCTTCAATGCCCTTGCTGATGGAAGGAGGTTTTCACTCAAAATCTCACGATACATGGCCCCATTCATTCTTTCCTTTACACGGATCAGTCCCTTTGCAGAAAAACAGCCCCAAAGCATGATGTTTCCACCCCCATGCTTCACAGTAGGCATGGTGTTCTTTGGATGCAACTCAGCATTCTTTGTCCTCCAAACACGACAAGTTGAGTTTTTACCAAAAAGTTCTATTTTGGTTTCATCTGACCATATGACATTCTTCCCAATCCTCTTCTGGATCATCCAAATGCACTCTAGCAAACTTCAGACGGGCCTGGACATGTACTGGCTTAAGCAGGGGGACACGTCTGGCACTGCAGGATTTGAGTCCCTGGCGGCGTAGTGTGTTACTGATGGTAGGCTTTGTTACTTTGGTCCCAGCTCTCTGCAGGTCATTCACTAGGTCCCCCCGTGTGGTTCTGGGATTTTTGCTCACCGTTCTTGTGATCATTTTGACCCCACGGGGTGAGATCTTGCGTGGAGCCCCAGATCGAGGGAGATTATCAGTGGTCTTGTATGTCTTCCATTTCCTAATAATTGCTCCCACAGTTGATTTCTTCAAACCAAGCTGCTTACCTATTGCAGATTCAGTCTTCCCAGCCTGGTGCAGGTCTACACTTTTGTTTCTGGTGTCCTTTGACAGCTCTTTGGTCTTGGCCATAGTGGAGTTTGGAGTGTGACTGTTTGAGGTTGTGGACAGGTGTCTTTTATACTGATAACAAGTTCAAACAGGTGCCATTAATACAGGTAACGAGTGGAGGACAGAGGAGCCTCTTAAAGAAGAAGTTACAGGTCTGTGAGAGCCAGAAATCTTGCTTGTTTGTGGGTGACCAAATACTTATTTTCCACCATAATTTGCAAATAAATTCATTAAAAATCCTACAATGTGATTTTCTGGAGAAGAAAATTCTCAATTTGTCTGTCATAGTTGACGTGTAGCTATGATGAAAATTACAGGCCTCTCTCATCTTTTTAAGTGGGAGAACTTGCACAATTGGTGGCTGACTAAATACTTTTTTTCCCCACTGTATGAGCAGCTTACCAATGACTAGCCTCTCGTGGTCTCCGGCGATGAACATGGAGGCCCCTTGTTCCTTGGCCCTCTTGGGTGAGGGGGAGAGAGGTCCGGGGGAGGAGGTGGTGAAGGGGGTGGTCAGGTAGCTGGGGTCCTGGAGGGTCCCGGCAGGACAGGTCAGGGTGGTGTGGTTGGTAGTAGAGGTGGGAGAGTGTGGGGTAGAGAAGGAGTCCTCTTTACCAGAGGAAGTGTATACACAGACACTAGCAGCTCGAAGGTCTGGAGAAGGTTGTCTCTTGGCAGTAATGTGAACCACAGCCCGTTGGTAGCGCTCCATGCCTGGACGAAGCTGAAAGAACAACGAACAATTAAGAACAATTAACAATTAAGTTCCTGAATTGACTGATTGGCATTGGAAAGGAATGGAGCCTATGTTATTCTAAGGCATGATCAGTACAAATTTCAACCAGTATTTTTTACTCTAATACAACTGATCAGCATCAAGGGAGAAAACATTTGCAAAATCAGCTATTTCAGATCTGTAGATCATAATTTCTCTCACCGTGAAGACAAAGCTCTCCCCAGTCCCAAAATACGCAGGCTCTTCTGAATCATACTCTTTTCGCTGAATCAAATCTGTCGACAGGAAGGCACCACAGACCTGTGGAGTGACACAGGGGTAAGAAGTCTGCATAGAATCTAGTTGAGTGTCAAATATTTAATTTAAAAAAAGCTAGTCTGCTACTGTAAACTCACCTCTTCATCCACAGTTTTCAGAATCAATACCGCTGGCTCATGCCCCTCAACACGGGAATAAAATCTTACAATTGAGAAAAAATATTTTATTTTTTTACATTTTACATTGTCTTACTACTTTAAGCACTCACAGTGAACAATGGCACTGAAACTTGATCTATATTTGTAATGTTTTTAGACAACTGTTGTTCAACAATCCCAGCCCCCTGGAATGTATTTATGAGGGTGTAAGTTCAAAGTTTACTGGAGGGGTCACGTCCTGGTCAGGGTCAGACTTTTAATTGGGGTCATCACATCCTGTCAAGACCACCCTGTGTATGGCTAGAACCAATTCAAAAGCATGTCTGCTGAGGCAGGTACGTCTCAGCGCAGTGACAAAGGAAAGTCAGAGAATCCCAATCAAACTCTTTGAAGGACATCAGAGTCAACGTGCATAGAGATTCCTCATAGTGGAGAAAAATAACTATTGGCGTCTCGACGTTTTGACTAGCTCTAGGACGAGACAACAGCTAGTAATTGTGATGTAGGAATTCAGAGCTTTTCTAAAAGGATTTGCAAGTGCTGATGTATATTATCTACCACATTTTCTCCTGACAGACCAACAGAACACTTCTAGAGACATAAAAAACTGATGCCACATGAACTGTTCCCGCCAACGAACTGGAGGGCACTTGGTCATGCACCTTAAGGCAAACATGTTGTTGATTCTAACAACACAGCCTTTCACTATTATGTAACTGAACTCTAAGGCGAGTTTATACAGCTCTGGGCTGTTGAATTTACTGTAGACAGTTCTGGGCATCTGAATGTATATGTATTCAAAGCCATTGATCCACTACTAAGGTAAAATAGTGAATTAAAGTCACTTACGAGGCCAGGCTTCGACCATGTTCGTTGGTGCTGAACAGTCTTATGGGATTGAAGAGGGCAAAGCGTTCAGGGATCCAGGCCCAGACAATCCTCATCTCTGTCCCCGTGACAACGCTGGAGCTGAAGCTGTCAAAATCCACTACCTGGCACGACTGCCTTTATGGAGGAACAGAAACAGTTTGAGAACGTAAATATTTGTTTTGAACCGTATCTTCAGATTACAGATGAATATAAAGGAAACTCAGAAAGTAAAGAGCTGTAAACTGTTTATAGATCAAAACGCATACAGTATCTAGGTATAGTTTGGTAGAACGACTGTAGCATCTCTATACCAAACTGGCTTGGAAGTAATCTGGCATAATCATCCTATGAGGAGTAGGGCTGACTTGGTGATGGCTTGCTATCTTTTGTTCGTTAACAGAGAGTGGCCCAATTAGATGTTCATCAAGAGTAGAAAAATGTTCTGGAAGAACTCCCTTGACCAACATCCTCACCTCTTCTGGTGGATACTGATGCCCTTCTGCATGAGTGAGTCCTTGTTAGCTTTGAACAGTAGGTTGAGCTCCCTCCGTGTGGCTAGCTGGATGCTAAAGGCCCTCTCCAGCAGCTTCTCCACCGTACAGTGACGCGGCACGTTCTCCACAAAGCTCTTCATGTCTCGCCTGAAGTCCTCCACGTCGGCGACACGAGACGAAACTGAGACCTTGTACAAGCTGAGAAGAGCCAGAGCCACCCTGTAGAGAACCTTGTAACCCTCCAGAAGATAGACATCCAGAACCCTGATAGCGTATGTGAAGGGGAGATCGGCGAAGATCCACATGATCCAATCGGAGTAGAACTCAAAGAGGTTCTGGTGGGAGCTGGCGATGAGCTTGCGGATGCCGCGGCAGTACTTGTTGGCCAGGTCGCCGAAGGTCATGCAGGAGGCCCTGTAGGTGAGGAATGTCTGGTCGATGTAGCGCTTGTTGGGGTCATTGTAGGCGATGAGGCGGCAGATGCTGTGGAAGCACTCTGCTTCGTCTTCGCTGAAATGTAGGAGGAGAGCTACCAAGGCTGGGAGGATGGGGCAGAAGTTGATGTCCGGGAGGTGCTTGCTGATGCAGAGGAGGATCTTTTTAACAGAATTGAGACCAGCTTTGTTGAGGCAGTACCTGGGGGTGGGAAGAAGAATGAAGACACTTGCTATGTTATCATTTTATGAGCAGAACATAATGTACATGCAATATGGGGAAAAAGCATGATAAACTTCAGATTCTCCTATCAAAGTTTAATGACCAAAATGATTTGATCATGATTTGATAATCTGAACCGTTTTTCTCTGATAGCTTCATAGCCAGTACCTGGGGATCACACCATCATCCATGTACTCAGGGAAGGGGTGTGTGATCATCTTCTGCTCCCCAAAGAGCTTCTTGGCCACTTCCTGGTAACAATCTCGATCTGGTTTGAAGGACCTGCAGTTGATACCATGAATTATATGATAGTAGGCCTTGGCCCTCAGTGTATGGGGCATGGTCCAGAACCCTGATCGACCCATGGTCTTCAGCTCCTGGTGGTCCGACTTCAGGATCCTCTGGTAGCACTCTGAAGCCTCAGGGTCGATCTTCTCCCAGTCCACAAACTGGCCATACTTCATGCCAGAGCAGGAGCTGATCTCCCAGTTGTCTGATTCGGAGATGGTCATCATGGGGACACCCTTCAGACTGCCTCTTCTGCCTGTTGGAGAGAGGAAGGAATAAATTGATTATTTCATAAATGAATTATTATAGATCTGTGTTCATCCACAGTAACATTCTGTGTTTGTGCATGTTCTGCATTTCTCCCCCTCTTATTCATAGAAACACGCTTACGCACACAAGCGCTAGCACACGCACTCTACACACACGTTCATTGTAATATTGTTGTATGGTGGTATTATACATTTTGTATCGTAGATATGTAGTGGTGTAATATTGTTATATGATGTACTGTGTTATCTTTTGTTGCATATGTAATGTACGTTTCTTAATGTGTTTGGACCCCAGGAAGAGTAGCTGCTGCCTTGGCAACAGCTAATGGGATCCCAAATAAATGCAAATACAAATAACAGTAGGAATATGGCAAAATATTTTAAAAAACATAATTTGTCAATTAAACATAAATCGGTCACTTTTAAACATACTGTAATTTGCATACCATTGAGATCTCTGCATGGCAAGTGTTTGTTGGTGTTGGACTTGGATCTCTTGGAGTTGAGCCGAGCCATGATCCCCTGATTCCCATCCGCACTACTCTTCTCCTTCTTCCCCTCCCCACTCTTCTCCAGGGAGTTGGATCTCGGCCTCATGGCGTTGGACCTGGTAAAGTTCCCCTCTCTGTAGAGCTCAGACGTCTCGTAACTATAGAAAGACCTGGAGCGTGGCCTGACAAAGTTCTCATCTGTCGCCGTCTCCACGCCATACTTTTTGGCGTCCTCTGGGCTGTAGTAGGAATGGGACCTGGGTCTTCTGTGTCTGGCTGATGAGCTCAAGTCCTGGTCCTGGTCAGTGGCTGTATCCATAGGAGACGGATCGAAACTTATAGTCCCACAAGTGGAGAACTTGGGCATTCTTGAAACATGGATCATGCTGTCTGGTACAGTATTCTCCTCTGCAAATGTCAAGTTGTCCTCTATATCAATGACAAGACAGTCTCCAGTGGTGGTATACATCCCTTGTGATGTTTTCCATCTGAGTGCCATGTGGATGTGGGTTTTATACACAGTTGTCAGTTGGTCAGGTGACCGGCACAGAAAGTGATATGGGTTTGTTTACAGTGTTTTTGTGTATTCCGAGTGGAAAATTCATCTGACTTAAGTTCCATTACTGTGGCGACAAGGAATGCCTTCTTTCTTCGATTCCAACACCAGCGGACAGCAACAAATGAACTAGGGTAATGAAATCAAATAAAGTGGCAGATTATTATTGTTTCATTTGATAATAGGCTACTGTGTAAAGGACAGTCTCCATTGCCATATATGGGCAGTGAATGCCTACGCTATTATTTTGATACACATTAAGACGTATCAAAATACGTATCAAAATCATGACTATACAGCAATGAGTGTTCACACAAAGCATGTATCCTACTTTTAACCAGTTTATCTTCCTGGGTTTACCTGGTATTGTATCTGTTATCTGGGTTTGCCTGGGTTGATCTTTTATTGTTCATTTGCATGTTTATGGCAGCATTTAACAAAACAACATTAAAGATTATTTTACTTTCTAAGTATTTTCAGAGGGGTGGGGTTAAATGCGGAAAAACCCATTTCAGTTGAATGCATTTTCCATTCCCTTCCCTTTTCCTGGAGGGACCATGAAACTGTTTTATAGGAAAACATGACCATGCCAAATGACTGCCTCTATTCCTAGAATTAGCAAAGGTTATCATTTCACACAACAGATACTGTTTTGATCAAAACACACATTGTTTTGCTATGAAACAAAGAAACCTCTGTAAATAGATCAATTTAAGTGGGGGCTTGTTAAGGAAAAACAAACTCAGTGCCTATGTAGATGATAGAAGGAGCTGTAGCCTACAGTTTGTTTATACTAGTAGTGGTCATAATCCTCACATAATGTTACAATAAGGACTTCCATATCACTAGACAAACAGGGGGCAATTTGAGGCAGTGTTGACATTTTAGAGAATATTTTCCAAAACAACAAAACATGAGCAGTGGTTATGTCTACCTTTTATGATCTTTACTCCACCAAAACAAAATAATTACATTGCTGGCTATCGCCAAGTCCACACAGCCACAGCCCTATATATTCAGTGGGGAAAAAAAGTATTTAGTCAGCCACCAATTGTGCATGTTCTCCCACTTAAAAAGATGAGAGAGGCCTGTAATTTTCATCATAGGTACACGTCAACTATAACAGACAAAATGAGAAGAAAAAAAATCCAGAAAATCACATTGTAGGATTTTTTATGAATTTATTTGCAAATTATGGTGGAAAATAAGTATTTGGTCAATTAGAAAAGTTTCTCAATACTTTGTTATACACCCTTTGTTGGCAATGACACAGGTCAAACGTTTTCTGTAAGTCTTCACAAGGTTTTTACACACTGTTGCTGGTATTTTAGCCCATTCCTCCATGCAGATCTCCTCTAGAGCAGTGATGTTTTGGGGCTGTCGCTGGGCAACACGGACTTTCAACTCCCTCCAAAGATTTTCTATGGGGTTGAGATCTAGAGACTGGCTAGGCCACTCCAGGACCTTGAAATGCTTCTTACGAAGCCACTCCTTCGTTGCCCGGGCGGTGTGTTTGGGATCATTGTCATGCTGAAAGACCCAGCCACGTTTCTTCAATGCCCTTGCTGATGGAAGGAGGTTTTCACTCAAAATCTCACGATACATGGCCCCATTCATTCTTTCCTTTACACGGATCAGTCGTCCTGGTCCCTTTGCAGAAAAACAGCCCCAAAGCATAATGTTTCCACTCCCATGCTTCACAGTAGGTATGGTGTTCTTTGGATGTAACTCAGCATTCTTTGTCCTCCAAACACGACGAGTTGAGTTTTTACCAAAAAGTTCTATTTTGGTTTCATCTGACCATATGACATTCTCCCAATCCTCTTCTGGATCATCCAAATGCACTCTAGCAAACTTCAGACGGGCCTGGACATGTACTGGCTTAAGCAGGGGGACACTTCTGGCACTGCAGGATTTGAGTCCCTGGCGGCGTAGTGTGTTACTGATGGTAGGCTTTGTTACTTTGGTCCCAGCTCTCTGCAGGTCATTCACTAGGTCCCCCCCTGTGGTTTTGGGATTTTTGCTCACCGTTCTTGTGATCATTTTGACCCCATGGGGTGAGATCTTGCGTGGAGCCCCAGATCGAGGGAGATTATCAGTGGTCTTGTATGTCTTCCATTTCCTAATAATTGCTCCCACAGTTGATTTCTTCAAACCAAGCTGCTTACCTATTGCAGATTCAGTCTTACCAGCCTGGTGCAGGTCTACAATTTTGTTTCTGGTGTCCTTTGACAGCTCTTTGGTCTTGGCCATAGTGGAGTTTGGAGTGTGACTGTTTGAGGTTGTGGACAGGTGTCTTTTATACTGATAACAAGTTCAAACAGGTGCCATTAATACATATAACGAGTGGAGGACAGAGGAGCCTCTTAAAGAAGAAGTTACAGGTCTGTGAGTGCCAGAAATCTTGCTTGTTTGTAGGTGACCAAATACTTATTTTCCACTATAATTTGCAAATAAATTCATAAAAAATCCTACAATGTGATTTTCTGGATTTTTTTTTCTCAATTTGTCTGTCATAGTTGACGTGTACCTTTGATGAAAATTACAGGCCTCTCTCATCTTTTTAAGTGGGAGAACTTGCACAATTGGTGGCTGACTAAATACTTTTTTCCCCCACTGTAAATAGAAACAAGTGAAGTCATAATATTTGTTATAAATTATTAGGATATTGTCTTTTTTAGTTATTTATTTTATGAATGGACGACTGAGCCTAAGAGGGTAGATACACATCAACACAGTGACAGAGACTGGATGGAAGATTTGTAAACTATGAATGAACATTTGGTTTGCAGGCTACAGTGGGTCTGGTGTGGGACTGGGGGACAGCAGCAGCTCTGTCAGAGAGGGACATTACAATTGATTTGATTTGGATTCATTTTAACAGCTTCTTCTCAAATCAACATCGAGGTTGAAGTAAACGATTTGAGAAAAAGAAGAAAGTCTGTCGGTCCTGTTGTTTTTTTATAAAGAGAAAATACCTACGCATGTGAAGCTTGGTTATGTAAGATACGCCGTAAGAGCTTTTGTCCCCAAACCACTGCAGTGTAAGAATTGTAAAGGATTTGACCGTGTTTCAAGTGTGTGCAGACGAACAGAGTATAGTGAAGAACGGTGTGTAGAAGGACGACGGTGTTGCAATTGTGGTGGGGATCGTGAACCTGAGTTCCTGGAGTGCCCTGTAAGGGTGAAGGAAATTGAGGTGGCAAAAATAAGAGCGGTCAATGGAATCTCCTATGCAGAGGCGATTAAAATAATTGAGAAAACAAGTGATGCTAGTGAAGAGATGGTAGTGGATACACCACAGCCTGTAGTAAATGTTTGCTGCCAGACAAAAGATACCATGTGTGTTAAAAAGGTGGATTTTGTTGCATTCATACAGTTATAAACTGTACAGCACAAGTCTCAAAGAAGTTGAAGAAACTGGACATTATTGTGGCTGCGGCAGAAACGTTTTTGGGACTCAAGGATTTTACATCGGAAGACTTGCAAGGGGTACTGGCACCGGAAGACCTACCCTCCCAGGTTCCCCTTGAGCCTGTGTTTATTTTATTTTATTCATGAATTTTTGGGTAGTTTGGTAGTTCTTTTGGTATTTTGTTCCATTTTTGGGATTCCTGTTTCCATCCCGCACAGTAGGTGGCAGAATGCACATTAAATTGTGCGATCGCCAATATACCATAGAAGAAGAAGAAGTAAACGATTCACGACTCAAAGTTTGTTACTCACAGGACACCATTCTGACGTCACACCCAAACAAGAAGTGCTCCCTGCTTATCAGACAATTTATGGAGTAAATATCAACAAATTCATTGATTATAACTCGTTAACATGTTTCAAGATCCCTGGTAAGCAGCTTTTGAGGTGGCCATTATGAGTATATTTAAGATGGCATTGGAAAAAATATAGAAATATGTCTTTAAACCTATATATTTATGTTATTAGCTAGATAGTTAACGTTAGCTACAGTAACTCGCGTCCCTGTAACCGGCTACTTCTAAAAAAAGCGTGCTACGACTTGACATTTACATTTACATTTTAGTCATTTAGCAGACGCTCTTATCCAGAGCGACTTACAGTTAGTGAGTTTGACCCGATTAGTCGGTCAGTATGTTATATTTTAATTCCCATTGATAGTTCACGCGAAATTAATTGCAATGCACTTTCGCTGATAACAATATACTGCAGTCAGGGTTATGACTGAAGTAGGTAGCTAACTTATCTAACGTTACTAGTAGCTATGATGAGGAACAAATTGTTGTCACATGATGACATCTCAAGCGTGAGCTCAAGCAGAAAGATCTTGTGATTTAGATTGAGTACTACCAAGAACTCAAATGACAGAGCTCCAGTGCTGAATGACAGTTAACGTTAGTCTAAACATGAGACATAGCTGGCTACACCCAATCAGCTCAAATGAATTGGCCTACAATTGTTTTGTTTGTTGTTATTATTATAGGTTGATGATTTGCAGCATCTTCCTTTGAACTGGCTTTTTTATAGTGGTTCATATAGTAAATATTTTAACCACACATACAACTGTAGTACTACTCACGATAATTCAATACCAACCTGGTTTTGTAGGTTACAGAATTATGATGCCACTTGCCGCCTTGTCCAAGAAATTGCAGAGAACATTCATGAAAGAAACAGACAACAGAGGACAAGAGGGAATCCTGCAAAGGTAAGCGTTGATACTATGATGACAACCTGCTAAACTACACATTTGTTTCCTAAAAAGTATATAGCTACAGTGCCTTCAGAAAGTATTCATACCCCTTGACTTGTTCCACATTTTGTTGTGTTGCAGCCTGAATTCAAAATGTATTGAATAGATTTTTCTACACAAAATACCTCATAATGACAGTGAAAACATGTTTTTAGAAATGTTGGCAAATGTTTGAAAATGAAAAACATAAATATCTAATTTACATAAGTAGTCACACCCGAGTCAATACTTTGTTGAAGCACCCTTTGCAGTGATTACAGCTGTGAGTCTTTTGGGGTAAGTCTCTAAGAGCTTTGCACACCTGGATTGTACAATATTTGCCCATTATTCTTTTTTAAATTCTTCATGCTCTGTCAAGTTGATTATTGATAATTGCTAGACAGCCATTTTCAAGTCTTGCCATAGATTTTCAAGCCGATTTAACTCAAAACTGTAACTAGGCCACCCAGGAACATTCAATGTTGTCTTGGTAAGCAACTCCAATGTATATTTGGCCTTGTGTTTTAGGTTATTGTCCTGCTGAAAGGTGAATTAATCTCCCAGTGTCTGTTGGAAAGCAGACTGAACCAGGTCTTCTTCTAGGATTTTGCCTGCGATTATAGCTGTATTCCGTTTCTTTTTATCCTTTAGTCCTTGCCGATGACAAGCATACCCATAACATGATGCAGCCACCACCATACTTGAAAATATGAAGAGGGGGACTCAGTGATATGTTATTTGATTTGCCCCAAACATAATGCTTTTTATTCAGGACAAAAAGTGAATTTCTTTGCCACATTCTTTGCAGTATTACTTAAGTGCCTTGTTGCAAACAGGATGCATGTTTTGGAATATTTGTATTCTATACAGGCTTCCTTCTTTTCACTCTGTCATTTATGTCAGTATTGTGGAGTAACTACAATCCCATCCTCAGTTTTCTCATATCAAAACCATATTAAACTCTGTAACTGTTTTAAAATCACTATTGGCCTCATGGTGAAATCCTGAATACTTTCCTTCCTCTCCGGAAACTAAGTTAGGAAGGATGCCTGTATCTTTGTAGTGACTAGGTGTATTGATACACCATCCAAAGCCTAATTAACCACTTCACGATACTCAGGGATATTCAGCGTCTGCTTTTTAAAATTTTACACATCTACCAATCAGTGCCCTTCTTTGCGAGGCATTGAAAAACCTCCCTGGTCTTTGTGGTTGAATCTGTGCTTCAAATTCACTACTCGACTAAGGGACCTTACAGATACAGTGCATTCGGAAAGTATTCAGACCCCTTGACTTTTTCCACATTTTGTTACGTTACAGCCTTATTCTAAAATTAATTAATTGTTTGCAAATTTATAAATAAATAAAAACAACAGAAATATTACATTTAATTATTCAGACCCTTTACTCAGTACTTTGTTGAAGCACCTTTGGCAGCGATTACAGCCTGAGTCTTCTTCGGTATGACGCTACAAGCTTGGCACACCTGTATTTGGGGAGTTTCTCCCATTCTTCTCTGCAGATCCACTCAAGCTCTGTCAGGTTGGATGGGGAGCGTCGCTGCACAGCTATTTTCAGGTCTCTCCAGAGATGTTTGATTGGGTTTAAGTCCAGGCTCTGGCTGGGCCACTCAAGGACATTCAGAGACTTGTCCCGAAGCCACTTCTGCATTGTGTTGGCTGTGTGCTTAGGGTCGTTGTCCTGTTGGAAGGTGAACCTTCGCCCCAGTCAGAGGTCCTGAGCACTGGAGCAGGTTTTCATCTAGGATCTCTCTGGTACTTTTCTCTGTTCATCTTTCCCTCGATCCTGACTAGTCTCCCAGTCCCTGCAGCTGAAAAACATCCCCACAGCATGATACTGCCACCACCATGCTTCACTGTAGGGATGGTGCCAGGTTTCCTCCAGACGTGACACTTGGCATTCAGGCCAAAGAGTTCCATCTTGGTTTCATCAGACCAGAGAATCTTGTTTCTCATGGTCTGAGAGTCCTTTAGGTACCTTTTGGCAAACACCAAGCAGGCTGTCGTGCCTTTTACTGAGGAGTGGCTTCCGTCTGGCCACTCTACTATAAAGGCCAGATTGGTGGAGTGCTGCAGAGATGGAAGGGCCTTGGTCACCTCCCTGACCAAGGCCCATCTCCCCCGATTGTTCAGTTTGGCCGGGCGGCCAGCTCTAGGAAGAGTCTTGGTGGTTCCAAACTTCTTCCATTTAAGAATGATGGAGGCCACTGTGTTCTTGGGGACCTTCAATGCTGCAGACATTTTTTGGTACCCTTCCCCAGATCTGTGCCTCGACACAATCCTATCTCGGAGCTCTACGGATAATTCCTTCGACCTCAGCATGATTTTTGCTCTGACATGCACTGTCAACTGTGGGACCTTATATAGACAGGTGTGTGCCTTTCCAAATCATGTCCAATCAATTGAATTTACCACAGGTGGACTCCAATCAAGTTTTAGAAACTTCTCAAGGATGATCAATGGAAACAGGAAGCACCTGAGCTCATTTTCGAGTCACATAGCAAAGGGTCTGAATACTTATGTAAGTAAGGTTTTTCCGTTTGTACTTTTTTAGAAATGTGAAAACATTTCTAAAAACCTGTTTTTGCTTTGTCATTATGGGGTATTGTGTGTACAGTTGTGGTAAAAGTTTTGAGAATGACACAAATATTAATTTTCACATAGTCTGCTGCCTCAGTTTTTATGATGGCAATTTGCATATACTGCAGAATGTTATGAAGAGTGATCAGATGAATTGCAATTAATTGCAAAGTCCCTCTTTGCCGTGAAAATGAACTTAATCCCCAAAAAAACATTTCCACTGCATTTCAGCCCTGCCACAAAAGGACCAGCTGCCATCATGTCAGTGATTCTCTCGTTAACACAGGTGAGAGTGTTGACGAGGACAAGGCTGGAGATCACTCTGTCATGCTGATTGAGTTAGAATAACAGACTGGAAGCTTTAAAAGGAGGGTGGTGCTTGAAATCATTGTTCTTCCTCTGTTAACCATGGTTACCTGCAAGGAAACGCGTGCCGTCATCATTGCTTTGCACAAAAAGGGCTTCACAGGCAAGGATATTGCTGCTAGTAAGATTGCAACTAAATCAACCATTTATCGGATCATCAAGAACTTCAAGGAGAGAGGTTCAATTGTTGTGAAGAAGGCTTCAGGGCGCCCAAGAAAGTCCAGCAAGCGCCAGGACTGTCTCCTAAAGTTGATTCAGCTGCGGGATCGGGGCACCACCAGTGCAGAGCTCGCTCAGGAATGGCAGCAGGCAGGTGTGAGTGCATCTGCACGCACAGTGAGGCGAAGACTTTTGGAGGATGGCCTGGTGTCAAGAAGGGCAGCGAGGAAGCCACTTCTCTCCAGGAAAAAACATCAGGGACAGACTGATATTCTGCAAAAGGTACAGGGATTGGACTGCTGAGGACTGGGGTAAAGTCATTTTCTCTGATGAATCCCCTTTCCGATTGATTGGGGCATCCGGAAAAAAGCTTGTCCGGAGAAGACAAGGTGAGCGCTACCATCAGTCCTGTGTCATGCCAACAGTAAAGCATCCTGAGACCATTCATGTGTGGGGTTGCTTCTCAGCCAAGGGAGTGGGCTTACTCACAATTTTGCCTAAGAACACAGCCATGAATAAAGAATGGTACCAACACATCCTCCGAGAGCAACTTCTCCCAACCATCCAAGAACAGTTTGTTGATGGAGCACCTTGCCATAAGGCAAAAGTGATAACTAAGTGGCTCGGAGAACAAAACATCGACATTTTGTGTCCATGGCCAGGAAACTCCCTAGACCTTAATCCCATTGAGAACTTGTGGTCTCCTCAAGAGGCGGGTGGACAAACAAAAACCCACAAATTCTGACAAACTCCAAGCATTGATTATGCAAGAATGGGCTGCCATCAGTCAGGATGTGGCCCAGAAGTTAATTGACAGCATGCCAGGGCGGATTGCAGAGGTCTTGAAAAAGAAGGGTCAACATTGCAAATATTGACTCTTTGCATAAACTTAATGTAATTGTCAATACAAGCCTTTGACACTTATGGAATGCTTGTACTTATACTTCAGTATACCATAGTAACATCTGACAAAAATATCTAAAAACACTGCAGCAGCAAATGTTGTGAAGACCAATACTTGTGTCATTCTCAAAACTTTTGACCACGACTGTAGATTGATGAGGGAATAAAATGATTGAATCTATTTTAGAATAAGGCTGTAGCGTGCATGCGCCCGGCCCCCACAAGGAGCCGCTAGAGTGCGATGGGACAAGGACATCCCAGCCAGCCAAACCCTCCCCTAACCCGGACGATGCTGGGCCAATTGTGCGCCGTCTCATGGGTCTTCCGGTCGCGGCCGGCTGCGAAACAGCCCGGGATCGAACCCGGATCTGTAGTGACACCTCTAGCACCGCGATGCAATGCCTTAGACCGCTGCGCCACTCGGGAGGCCCAGCTTGACATTTTTTATGAATTTCTAAATTTGTCGACAAACCAAATTCAACTTTGACATTATGGGGTATTGTGTGTAGATCAATGACAAGAAATCTCAATTTTTAATTCAGGTTGTAACACAACAAAATGTTGAAAAAAAGTAAAGGGGTGTGAACACTTTCTGAAGGCACTGTAGCTACTGTATTTGACCATTTCTGTTAAGGAATTGATTGTAAAAGTGTTTATTTGTCTGTCCAGATCAACATGACACTGCGAGCGTCGCTACAGAAGCTGAAACAGAACATCACCCAGCTCAGAGAGAGTTTGCTCCGAGCCTCGTCCTCCCGGCGCATGTATCCTTCCTCCTGGTCATGTGACTGATGATACGCAGTACAGTGAACCAAACCGGTTTGGTTTCACATTCATGACACTGCAGTGTTGTTGTATGGAAAGGTCCTGTAGAGGGCAGTGTTTTGTAAGAAATTGCATCTAACCTTCACTCTCTGCAATGAGAATCTGTGAATTGCATTGTCTGTTACTTTAAAGATTAATGACAGTAGTATGATAGTCCAAGTCCTTGTTAAAAATATATTGTATTTTTTACCATCATTTTACCATAATCTCGACCTTAACACAACCGCCCCTCCAGAATGCAGTCGGAAGCCGATCGGAGACAGAACCTTGTGGACGACCTGGTCACCAGGGACAAGCAGCTAAATGCCACGTTCAAGGGTGACGTTACACAGCCAGAGCCCTCGAGGTATTTCTCCCTCTTACAGCTCATTAAGTATAAGTCATTCACACACACACACACACACACACACACGGCTCATTAAGTCTCCTTTTAGCATACGCCACTCATTGTAAGTGAATGTAAATGCTCCAGAACCTCAACATCAGTCATAGGCAATTGGTGATGCACCAAAGCCCATCCTGCCAGCGGAGAACTATATTTTTCTATCTGCTAGTACTGCCAATTAATCTGAGTCTTGACTTTGTCTCAGCCCAGAGGGGTCTAACGGATCCACGGTTTCCTTTGAGGATAAGTCACTGGTCACTAACTTTGTGTGCAAAGAAAGTCTTCGGACTTCCGTACAACCTTTTGTTTGACCCCATCCGACGCCATTGGAAGTCTGGTCTGCCATATTGGGGGCCGGCGCAGGGCAGTTGACTTCTGAATCACTCAGTTTCTCATTCATCAAGAGGCTTTACTTGCCTTGCACTGGTGATCACACGCTTGGCACTTCCCGAAACTGGTACGCTGGGGCTCAGTGAAAAATATTAAAGGGGTCGGATGAAAAAAGTGCAACCCGAGCTTTTCGAGTTTACAGTTTATCACTCTCCGCTGAGCTCATATCCTCATCCTGTCATCCTCATCCGCCAGTGGACCAATCAAAGCACTGGACGCCACCGGCTATATCCTGTATTCTCATATTATTCCTAATTGTAGTGACAGCTCTGCACAGGAGCTTAGGAAAACACTTAGGAAAACGGTAATTACTTAGCATCGGGCTTGACCTGCCCCATCCCAGGTGACATGAATTTGGACAGTCGGGAGGTGAAATGAATGACGCTCACTCAGTGGTAATGGCACAGACTTCCGCTTTCAGGTTTTGAGTATGTATTGTATGTGAAATTAAATGAGAGTCAAACCCCATTCATTTGACAGGATCGTGTTCTTTTAATAACACACAGGCTACAGGGATAATACAGAGGTTTTCAATTTACCACAGCAAAGCACTGCAGTGTGTGCCTTCTGCCTGAACCAAGGCAGCTTACCTTCAAAGAATAGTGGAATGGCCATGTGGGGTAAAAGTGTGCTAAAACTCACAATCAGTCATCGATTGATCAAATTAGCAGACTTTAGAAACGTTAAACTCTTTTCTTATTAGTCTGATCTGAGACTGCTCCGTTTATACGTGTTTCGATTAATCCACTTTGGGGCTAAAAGCGGGGAGGGAAGGGAATGCTTGCTTTCATCTTTTTATAGATCCCACACCCAATTACGAACATTGGTGGCCCATAACTAAATCAAATGACAACTAATGAATTACACGGTTGATCTTACTCATGTGATCTTACCGTTTCAAGTTTGCCCGGGAAACTATATACTGATGTACAGTGTGTAGTGTACTTTGTTGCTGACGTGGGGTGGGTGGATGATTTGGGAGGGGTGGGTAGTGGGTAGGTAGGCCTGGCACTCAGTGTGTGGTCTTTGAGGTGGGTGGGTATTAGCCTCGCTTGGATAACCTAAGCTGTTCCATTTTTTTGAGGAGTGAGGTTTGTTGGGGATAAGGGGGCTTATTTTATTTGTGAAACAATACATTAGAGAGAGATTAGCCTCTAATCAAGCAAAGAAGGGACATGGCGCCTCCATTTTGAAGGCTCACTGCACCCCTGACCCCCTTGGAACCCCCTCTCCCCTCTACCACCCCTTTTCCCTTTCCCAATAACCTCTCCTTTATATTTGATCACTCCTGCAAAAAGTCGGAATGAGTTAAATCGGCCCTGTCCGAGTTAGAGCCTTAGAGGCCTGTCTGTCTGTCGGTTCCTCGGTGGCGGGGGTGTGTGATGCGGGCTGCCCAGAGATGCCTGATTAAGTTGGCGGGCCCCAGTGGGCGGTTAATTGGATAAGCTTTAATCTTCACACGGCGGGAGGAAGTGGAGATCCGCCACGCGGTAGGATAGTTACCAAACATGTCAGAAAGATTAGTTTAGCGCTGGCTGCCGGCCTCCTTGTCTCGCCCCGGCCGCCGCTGCAAAGTAAGCTGGGCCAAGGAATAAAGAGAGGGAGATGGGGTGCTTCAAACTTCACACTCGCCCTCGGAAAGCGGAAGGAAGGAGGTGGCGTCATGGCGCCATGCTTGAAACACATCACAACAAACTTTGAGCGCAAATTTAGGACAACCTGTCCTGTCCTATACCAGCGGAAGGAGAGGAACTTCATAAAGTCAACAAGTATACCTAATTGAGGTTTCTGATCACACAATTCCTTTACCTGCTGACATTGTGGATTGTTATCCTCACAGTGGTTAAGAGCATGGAATCACATCTACAATAACATGTTTTTCATTCTTTTCAACATGGTGTACCACAAGGATTTGATGAGCCATATGATATTGTAGTAAATGGGCTTTGTTAAGGGAAGTGGAGGAGAATCCTTGAGATTTAAGTGGCTACTTCAGACAGCCAATGGCTATCATCCTAATTCCACTGTCAGCCAATGGCTGTCCCCCAAGGTCCCCTGACAGCCAATGCCAGTCCTCCAGTCAGCCCAGTCAGCACTGTCTGAGGTGAATTGCTGGTCCTGGGTCTGACCAGTAGGTGACACTGTCTTGACGGACAGGGTTGATCTATCTGTACTAAGAGAGACCTCAACACCTCACCACAACACAACCTCGGGGTCTGAGGCAGCCTTTAGACAGCTTTTTCCCATTACCAGAAAAATAGCTTGAAACCACACAACAGTGTTAAGCACTACACAACACAATAAGAGCACTCTGGTCTGCCTGCTGTTTGTGTGTGTGTGTCTGTGTGTGTCCGTTTGTGTCAGTCAGAGTGAAACCCGGCTGGAACCTTGAGGGCCTGTGGCTGTGTATGATTAGCATGCAGTGTTTACATGTCGAACAAGCCGGTCCTAGTTTTTTTTTAAAGCAACAAAACATATCTGCTTCCTTGTTCAGAAAGTAAAAACCAAACAAGAAAATAAATAAGCGTTGTCTCATCTGAAGGGTTCTGAAGGGAAGGAAATGTTATTTGTTGTTACAAAAGTCGACATCAGATGAGTAACAGGAGTGTTACAGATGTAATTGCTTGCTACAGAGGTTGTACCGTGGGTTGACAATGTGTGTCGGTTGTTCTGACGTGTGTCCCGGCCCGGTGATTGACAGGTACAGGGAGTGCGTTCGCTACACCCTTGGCATGCTGATCATGTTGTTGTGACGTTCCCCAGGTCGACCCTGATGACGGGGGCGGGGGGAGAAGGAGGGGCCGCGGCCAACCCCTGGCTGGTCAATGAGCCAGAGGAGACCAGGGGCCTGGGCTTCTCCCAGATCAAACAGCAGCAGCAGCGCATCATCGAAGGTAAGGTTACACAACGTTCAGATAACAATGTATGGTATAGAACAGATATGATTGTCTGTCAGGTAGACTAGAGGGTGTTGTCAGCTCTATTCATTTTATATCTATCTGCAAAGGTCAGAACGTTTCACATCACTGACTCTGAATAGACCCCTGATCAGATCTAGGATCAGCTTGTACCTTCAGAGTCCTAACTTTACCCATTAGAGGAGGGGGATGGAAAACTGACCTGTGATCAGTGCCTCTAGTAGGAAACACAGAGGTGGCAGTCCTCCTCGAGGCTACACCTTGATAACTATATCCACACTGTCACAGGATGAGGTGAACACAGTAACTCACATTCAGCAGATACGTTTTCCCTGCATCTCCCAGTTCCTAAATGTTCCCACATGCACTGTAACTGCAACATCCAGGCTGATCCTAGTACAGTTCACCTGACTCCACATGACTCTCCTCTGTTATGTCTCCATTACGGTTCTGGTTGCGATCTGGCTATTGTCCGTATTGTATGGGGATACAGTGAAACCGCATCAAGGTTTTAAGCCCCCATTGGGATTTCCGGTTGGAAGTTTAGGGCCTATAGTGAGCGACCAAATCTGTGGTCGCCTGAATTCCTGTGGTGGTGTCTGTGTCAAATACAGAGACAAGGGGCCTTCTCCTCACCAATTCCCTGAACCCCATTGAGCACATACTAAAACCTGGACAAACTCAGTGTAACACTACTCCACTGTAAAATTGTGATAGAGAATAATAGTTTCCCACAAGTTATGTATCCGTCTCTTTCATAAAGTTACTTTTCAGCTGCCCCGCTCTTCTTTTTCACCCGGTACAGTTAGACCAGTTAGAATAACAGAAGTCAGGCTGAGGTGTTTGTGTGTTTGTGCGTACATGCATGTCTTTGTCGTGTGTGTGTTTTAACCTCTACGGGATCGGTGTCCCGTATACGGGACGGTTGAGCTAACATGCACTAATGTAATTAGCATGACTGTTGTAAGAGTAACAGCAAACTTTCCAGGACATAGACATGTCTTATATGGGCAGAAAGCTTAAATTCTTGTTAATCTAACTGCACTGTCCAATTTACAGTAGCTATTACAGTGAAAAAATACCATGCTATTGTTTGAGGAGAGTGCACAACAACAAAAAACGCATCACGGCAACTGGTTTGATACATTCACCTCTGAAGGTAAATAATGTACTTACATTCAGTAATCTTGCTCTGATTTGTCATCCTATGGGTCCCAGAGATAAAATGTAGCATAGTTTTGTTTGATAAAAATCCATTTTTATATTCAAATGTAGGAACTGGGTTCTACAGTTTGAACCCCTGCAGTCTCTGGCTTCACACCCAACCCGCCCGGCCATCTAGATGTGTGAAAGTTAATGTCTAAGCTAATGATCCATCATGTATGACATTCCTGGGAGTGTGTAAACTTACATTTTGTATTACCATATCATTTTTGTATGTTCTCTATAGTTGCGTACTTGAAAATGTATCAATTGACCAATTCGGCACATTTGGGCAGACTTGATACAAAATAGTTCAGTATTGCAACGCTTCACTGGATCAATCTGAAACGTTGCGTACACACTGCTGCCATCTAGTGGCCAAAATCTAGATTGCGCCTAAACTGCAATATTATATTGTGGCCTTTCTCTTGCATTTCAAAGATGATGGAACAAAAAAACAAAAAACTCAGGTTTTTTGTTTGTATTATCTTTTAACAGATCCAATGTGCTTTATTCTCCTACATTAATTTCACATTTAAAATTTCCTGTAAAATGGTATCAAGAATATGCATATCCTTGCTTCAGGTCCTGAGCTACAGGCAGTTAGATTTGGGTATGTCATTTTAGGCGAAAATTGAAAAAAAAGGGTCCTATCCTTAAGAGGTTAAGTGCTGAGTGAATCAGAGCTGAACCCCAATAGCATAGCTTGTCATTCCTACTCACCAAATGGTTGCCATGTGAAATCACAGTGCACTAAGTATTAAAATGTATTCACTCACTAACTGTAAGTCGCTCTGGATAAGAGCGTCTGCTAAATGACTAAAATGTAAAAAATAACTAAATTGCTCCCTCTCTACCAATGGTTCATTAACAGTATTTGCATGTGGGTTGAATGGGGTTTTCCTAATTGTGGGTTGTTTATTGATGAACTGTATAATGCAGGAATCATCAACTAGATTCAGCTACAGGCCTATTTTGTTTTCTTGAGGGGATGGTCAGGGGGACGGAACACAATTACAAATAATTTGTAGACTGCAAATTGACTGCAAGAAGCCCAAACAGATATAATATTTGACTAAAACATAATATTTCCAAATCTTGCTTACGTTTGTATACGATCACATATATCTCTCTATAATGTGTGGGAATACTTTGGAACAGATTACCAAAATGAAATCACTTGGAGCTGATTTGCTGGTGTTTTTACAGTCTTATGTCCAACAACAAAAATAAATAAATATATATACAGTGCCTTTAGAAATTATTCACACCCCTTTACTTTTTCCACATTTTGTTGTGTTACAAGGTGGGATTAAAATGGATTTAATTGTAATTTTTTGTCAACGATCGACACAAAATACTCTGTCAAAGTGGAAAAAGATTCTAACATTTGTAAAATAAATAGAAAAGTAATCATCAATACATGTTAGAATCACCTTTGGCAGCAATTACAGCTGTGAGTATTTCTGGGTAAGTCTAAGAGCTTTGCACACCTGGATTGTACAGTAATTGGACATTATTCTTTTTTAAATTCATCAAGCTATGTCAAGTTGGTTGTTGATCATTGCTAGACAGCCATTTTCAAGTCTTGCCATAGATTTTCAAGCCGATTTAGGTCAAAACTGTAACTAGGCCACTCAGGAACATTCAATGTCGTCTTGGTAAGCAACTCCAGTGTATATTTGGTCTTGTGTTTTCTGTTATTGTCCTGCTGAAAAGTGAATTTGTCTCCCTGTGTCTATTGGAAAGCAGACTCAACCAGGGTTTTTTCTAGGATTTTGCCTTTGCTTAGCTCTATTCCGTTTCTTTTTATCCTAAGAAACTCCCTAGTCCTTGCCGATGACAAGCATACCCATAACATGATGCAGCCACCACCATGCTTGAAAATATGAATAGGGGTACTCAATGATGTGTTGTTTGATTTGCCCCAAACATCATTCTTTGTATTCAGGACATAAAGTTAATTTCTTATATATTTTTTTTGCAGTTTTACTTTAGTGCCTTATTGCAAACAGGATGCATGTTTTGGAATATTTGTATTCTGTACAGGCTTCTTTCTTTTCACTCTATCATTTAGATTAGTATTATTGAGTAACTACAATGTTGTTAATCCATCCTCAGTTTTCTCCTATCACAGCCATGAAACTCTGGAACTGGTTTAAAGTCACCATTGGCCTCATGGTGAAATTCCTGAGCGGTTTCCTTCCTCTCTGGCAACTGAGTTAGGAATCCATGCAACTTATTATGTGACTTGTTAAGCACATTTTTACCCCTGAATTTATTTAGGCTTGCCATAACAAAGGTGTTGAATACTTATTGACTCAAGTATTTTCAGCTTTTCATTTTTTATTAATTTTTAAAAAGAAATACAAATATTATTTCACTTTGACATCTCTATTTAATCAATTTTAAATTTGGGCTGTAACACAACAAAATGTGGAACAAGTCAAGGGGTATGAATACTTTCTGAAGGCACTGTAGCTATATACCTTTGAGGAAACAAATGTGTAGTTTAGCAGGTTGTCATCATAGTATCAATGCTTACCTTTGCAGCATATATATTTTTTTTGCTCAGAAAACTTGGAGGGCCAAAGAAAATCACCCGTGGGCCAAATTCATCCCAAGGGCCGCCAGTTTGGGAACCCTGGTATAATGTATAGGTCTCTCTCTTATGGAGCCTCTCTCTCTCTCCTTATTTCTGTCTCTCTCTATCATGCTGAACAGGGCTGAGTTAACCACTTTCTCTCTCTCCCTCTCTCTGAACAGTTCAGGATGCTGGGTTGGACGCGTTAGCCGCTGTCATCACCCGACAGAAGCTGATGGGTCAGGATATAGGCAACGAGCTGGACGAGCAGAATGGTAAGGAGGAGTGTATGTGTGTGTGGTACATCTACTATTGCTTCTGCGACCTACTCTGCATCAATCAGATAAGTCCACCCTACATTTCTCCCCTACAGTAAGACGCAAGCTCTTTATCATATTGTGTGTGTGTGTGTGTGTGTGTGTGTGTCTCCCTAAGAAGGGGAGGGTGTATATAGTTCATACATAGTTCTACCAGCCACACACTAGACCAGCCGCCACACCCTACTCCAAGTCACCGTGTGAAATCAATCAGACACGCTATTACTCCAGTCATGGAACAGGGGTCAGTCATGTAATACCGTTTACATGCTGCTCCAAACCACCTTGGTCAGGGTCACAGAATAAAATAAAGTGTTCATCCCAAATGGCACCCTATTCCCTGGTCAAAAATAGTGCACTATATAGGGAATAGGGTGCCATTTGGGACGCAGGCGATGTATCTCTATGGTTAAAGTGACCTCATGGTGAGCTCTCAGAAAACGTCTAGCCGTCCTTAGAAAAGAGCTCTGCTGGTGGTGGATATGTGACTGTGTCAGGCTGTATAGTCTGGTTAGGAGGAATGTGAGCTCCTGACGCACTGTTTTAATGCGTTTGCGGAGAGAGTCAAGTGCTGTCCTGGAATCAGATCTGCTTTGAGGTAATGGCTGTGTTGCTGTAAATAGCTCTGTCATAGGAGGCAGACGGCGGGCAGGACGCAGGTCTGAGCATATCGCTCCGGTTTGTCTACAGATGGAGGCACTTGAGAAAAGGTTGTAGGATGCATGATAATCATCATCTGTCTCGCAGAACCATTAGATAGTGGTCCTCTGTAGCTCAGCTGGTAGAGCACGGCGCTTGTAACGCCAGGGTAGTGGGTTCGATCCCCGGGACCACCCATACACAAAAAAAAAGATGCACGCATGACTGTAAGTCGCTTTGGATAAAAGCGTCTGCTAAATGGCATATTATATATATTATATTATTATATATCTCATTGTTTCCTCAACTGTACACTCTACATCTCAACTCTACATTTCTTAGTTGTATCCACAAGAGACTCCAGTGTTGCCTGATTATTTGTTTTAAAGGTCCAATGCAGCAGCTTTTATCTCAATATCAAATCATTTCTGGGTAACATTTAAGTACCTTACTGTGATTGTTTTCAATAAAAACAATCAAAAAGAAACAAAAATAACTTCTTAGCAAATAACCATTTCTTAAGAAACAATTTTGCTAGGACTGTCTGTGAGTGGTCTGAGTGGGGAAAACTAGCTGTTATTGGCAGAGAGGTTTGGGACTCTGTTTCTTATGGGTCTATTAACTCATTTACCATCTGGTGATGTCACCAGGCAGTCCAAACAGGCAGAAATTTCAGGCTGCCTTTTCAAACAACTCTTACACTAAAAGAATTTCACAGTATTATTCCAACCTCCTAGTGTGGAAATATATTTAAAACACAGGAAAATTTTGTTTTTGACTGCACTGGGCATTTAAAAAAAAAAAACGACCTCTTGTCACTTTTGGCCTTTGTCTCCTTTCAAAGCGATGTTTTCTGAGAACAGAATATGTTAGGGCCCTCTTGACATGTGGAGGACACCCAAAGCCTATAGGAGGTAGAAGAAGATCGAGAGGGACTTGTTACAGGCTTGATGTCACTGTTTAGTGACTGTAGAGCGTGTAGAGGGAGTGTGCTTAGTGGTCTGATAGAGGAATGTTACACTGAGTTCATTAGTTCCTGCTTGCTGTTCTTGGCATGTCCCGGGCACACCACAATGCCACAACCCTGGGGGCCAGACAATTAGTGGGCCGTTGGACTAAATGGTGCTTTTCTTTCTCCCGCCATGAGCACAATGTGATGACATGATTGATGTTCTCTCCCTAAAGAGCCCAGACCCCTTCCTCTGGGGCATTGGAAATGTAGGCTATATCCCAATAATGTTAAATAACTTCTTAGTTATCTTGTTTTAGCCATAGCCCCAAAATCACACCATATTGTTTATATTCTTCAGCCGTTTTGATGGACACCTATGAATATTCAATGCATATTTCCATGTATTTATAGTGTGTTTATTTTAGACGGCCAGTTCCAAGTTAGGTCAGATGACTATGTATGGTCCTTTTCTGAGGCTGTACTCAAACAGGGATGTGTAATCGAATGACCTTGGAGATGGAAACAAACGCGTTTCCCTGCTGCTGCTGGGAACAAACAGTAGATGTTTGGCCTGTCATCCTGCCCGAGTCAGAGAGAGGGTAGCTACGGCTTGATTGGTTCAGCCTGCTCTCCTCTTACCTTATTGAGCTAGAGAGGGATCATTGGTTCCCCTTTAATCCGAGTCCGAACCAACGGTTTTTCTCTTCTCTTTTTGCATTTATTTTTGAAGTGCATGGCGTCAGTGTTTCCAATAACAAGAGACCTCGGAGTGGCAAAACGGCCGGCCGTGACGGCTGTAACTGTAACTGAGAGTCCGGGCCCGATGCCCCCGCAGCAAGTGAGCGGAGCGGGCGAATTAAAACTTCAGCCCTGATACAAAGTGGCTTTGATATTTTAGCGAGGCAGTCCACATTCCCTAAAGTGCACTTTGTCCACAGATTTAGATAACGGCTCTCTCTTTCACTCTTTCCCACTTTCCATATTTCGATCACTACCGAATGCATCTCCAAATGCAGCGTAGTCCCCTGTGTGTGTTCAAACTTCTAACCAGGTCCGCCTGTTGAAATTGAAACCTAACCCAGCAAATAAGAGTGTTAGGAGGCTCGCTTGGTCAAGCGGACCGGCCCACCTGTATGCCTGAACCCAGGGGGGTTTACATAGAGGTGATAAAGAGAGGGATGAGGTGGAGGGGGGGGATCCAATAGTGGATCAGTCCAACATCTTGCAGTCTCCACCGGCTTCCCATCTGAATTTACAGTGGGGCTCAGAGTTCACGAGGCCCACTGACTTCACGCTATTCACACACACATACACACAGGCCCTTAGGGCTCTGGAGCCTTCTAGCGTCCCTCGCTTTCTCTCTTCCTCCCCTCTTTACCTCTGCCTCCACTTCTCCTACCTTCTCTGTCTTTTCTCTCCTTAACCTCTTTCCTCTTTCTCGCTCACTCTCTCTCTCGCTCTAATTTCCCTCTCTTTCTTTCTCTCTCTCTCCTTTACCTCTCTTTTCCCTCGTTCTCTCTGCTTCCTCTCTACCACCTCTGCCTCGTCCACCTCTACCTCCTCTCTCTTTCTCCTCTGCCTCCTCCCATCTTCCCTCTCTCTGTTCTCCTACCCTCTCCCTCCTCTCTCCACCTACCTCCTCTCTCTCCACTCCTTCTTCTCTCTCTCTCCCCTCTCTGTGAGTTATGGCCGAGATGTCATGGTCCCAGAAGAGGTGTGGGACAGGTGGAAAAAGAGTATATATCACACAGCGTGGTGAGCAGGGGAGACCAGGGAAGGACTTCAAACAGCCAGGCATATTGATTGCTGTTGGCCTGGGAGTTCCCATGCTTGATTTAGGGGCTGAACAGTCCACATAGTGCCCCACAGGCCTTGCGGGTGCTGGGGGAGAGGAATCCCTGGCTGCAGGCTGGAGAAACTGGTGGTCTGGTGGGTGCCTTGGATCCACACCAAACCAAGCCATGCCACCCTGAAGACATCATACCACCCAGGTTCTGATGGGCATACTGTTTTTGATGGTACAATTAAGAATGTGCTGGTGTTTTAAAAAGGTGTTTAAGCTATAGGGCTATATACACAAATGCATGATGGAATGCGGGCCTGCAGGCACACACTCACGGCACACACCACACACACACACACACACACACACACACACACACACACGGCACACACACACACACACACACACACACACACACAACCTCATCTACCTTACATAACAGTCAACGCTTGATATGCCCTTATATGAGACACAGAGGTTCGATTAATGTTTTCTGCATACTTCGTGAGAATAAGTGTTTGGAATGTTTTTCTTGCAGAGTTGTACTTAAATTACTCGTATTATTGCTTTGTACAGCTTTGTGGGTGCTGCATTTCTTACTTGTATTAAATGACAAAATCGACAACGTAAAAAGTAACAGGATAGCAAAATGCTTTTGGAGAGGCAGGGAAAATTGATTTAATTTAAAAAGCCTAGACTCTGAAAATCCAAGTGTTCCCTTTTTCCGTATTTTTAGGGGTTCTGTTTTTCTTCTGATCTCAGTCCTGTTAGTGTTTCCCTATAAATAGATTAAGCTCTGTGCTCGGAGCTAGCCTCTGACCTGAGTGCAGTGGAGGTTGCAGTCGGCTCCTTTTTGGGAAAGAGCTTGAAGCTAAGGTCATCTGTGAAGGTGACCTGTTCTGAGTGTAAGAAATGAACCCAAGGCCCTCGGTTTCTCTTCCAGCCCTGTCTTAAAAAACACAATGAATCTACAATGAATGGTGAGGAAGAGTTGAGCTGAAGTAGTAGCAATTTTAATCATCCCCAAGCTTTGCAGGTGTGAATTGTGAAGACAAGAAAGCCTTTTTGCCATATGGACAGTAGTTTGGTTCAATACCTATAAAAAGAAAAAGGCAATCAAAGTTTTTGGGTGTGAAGGTTATTTATGATGTGTATCATCACCAGGCGTATTCATATTTGCAACATAATGTGGCCGAAATCAACCATATTTTTATTTCCAAATTCAATGTGGCAGAAAATGTCCCTGTGCGTCTAACTAAAGTTTCTATATCAACAAAAGGAAGGTTTTTTGCTGCTAGAATCAACATTGTTTGACATTATTGGTGTTGATATTTCTCTTCATTCGGGTCTGGAACAATGACATCAGCCCGTGTCACAGTGGTCTGTGATTATGAGTGACGGGCAGTCTTGTAAAAGTGGGTCTTTTCGAGAGGCTGAGGAGGGTTCCAGCTTTAGAGACTAGTTTTCCATAATACATCCTCACTTTAGTTGGAATAACCAGGGAAAGGACAGTGTGTGGTTAGGCGTACAGGCGTACATGCATACACACACACACACACACACACACACACACACACACACACACACACACACACACACGCACACCCTTTCATTCCAGGGTTTGTCTATCTTCCCTATTACAAGCCTCATTAAAAATCCAACATGGTTGACCTGGGCTGATCAAATGGATGGATGAGTTCATTTATTTTCCACACACTGTTTGATGTTATTTAATCAACAAAGTTTCCCGCTAAGCCGAACCCCTCCAAATTCGCCACACACAAACCTTTCAGAGGAAGTAGTCACTGCAGTTTGTTCCGTTTTCTTTCATTTCTCCTTCCTCCACCGCTTCTCCAATTGAATAAATAGACTGTGGTCATGTGACGCCGCCGCCGAGTGTGCTGCTCGCCGCTTGCACATCAAATATCCCAGCAGTGACCTCTGTGTGTACTCCTGCCTGGCTTTTCTTCTGTTTGGCTAATAACACTCTGAGTGGATTTCACCATCGCTAGGCAACACGGTGTCCATATCATTCTGTTAGAGGACAATATTTCTGTGCAGAAGTGAGCTCATTCGGAACAGAGAGAGAGAAACAAAACTTCATTTAGATTAAGATCTGCTGGTGAAAGATTACGGAAAGATCCAAAAGGAAGAACGCTTTGAACAGATAAGAATACATCTGACCTAAACATCCAGGATTGTTATGTCTGACACTTGCTAAAAGATTGTTAGACGTGTATCCATTTCTGTATGAGTAAGTGATGACATGAGCCATATCAGGTCATAATAGGGGATCTATTATCAGTGTCTAGGACTTTCTTTGGGATAGCCTGGTCCCAGATCTGTTTGTGCGGTATAGCCAACTCTTATGGTTGTTTGGCATGACAATGACCATACAGTATATAGGACCTGGCAAGATGGCACAAACAGATCTGCGACCAGGCTATCTCTAGGCCTCAATAGTTAGCGACAACTACCACCCTCTCTCTTTGTAAAGCAGTCTTTATACTGGGAAGAAAAGGAGATATGTTTCTATGACATAGCCATTAGTCTGTTATTTCCCACTAATAATTACGTCATTGATTCACTGCTGCATCATCAGAGTCGTGGCCGGGGAACTTTAATGAGTTCCAAATAAATAGTGGAACCCGGGAAGGTGGGAACATTCTGGAACGTTTGTTAGAACTGCTGGAGGACCAGTGACCTCACCAGCGGGGTGGTCAACCCTGGCTGTGGAGAACAGAGCTCTTGGTCACACTCTTCAGAGAAACAGTCCCGCGAACAAATAAACTTACACTAATGGCGGTGCTCGGCGTCGAGGCTGAGCCCTGTTGCCGGGGCGAAGTCGACGATTGATTTATCGCCCGTCCTCTTTGCTCCAGCTGCGAGCCAAGGGTAGGGTGGTAGGGTAACACCTTAGTAGGGCGTGGAGATGGAGAAGGAGGGGTGGGGGTGGTGTTCGTGTCACGAAAATGGGTGTCGTCATACATGAAGACACGCCCAACTCTTGTTTGGTGTCACTGAGCTTTGAGTAGCAGTTACAAAGAGTGGAAATGACCAACTGACTTGGTGGCTGGAGTTTAACACGACTCTGCCCCACAGAGTTGGAAATAGTGAGGATTCTTCATGTACTAGATATAAGAAAATACCTCTTGTATACCTTCAATCCTAACACCTTAAAACAAGTCTGTTGGTGGTTCACGGACAGTTCTAAGGTTCAGGCTTAGTGTTATGGTGCTTTGGACGACTGAACGTGTCAAGTGCTACTGCTGGCTGCCGTGTTGCACCCTCTCTCATTGAAGAATAGCCTAATTTGACTTGAGTCACACTACTGTTATTTTCCACAAATCTCTTTCTTCACTGAAGGTGTTCTGTGGAAGGCCTCCTTCCTGTAACAGTCTCAGAGCATGTACATATTTAGTCACTTCCTCTGAGTCGGGTGTTTATAGGTCAGAGTAGGGACGCTGATCAAAGGTCAGTTTGACATTTTCTTCCCTTATGATTAAGGTTAGGATTTGGGGAGGGTAAGCTGATCCTAGATCAGTACCTAGCCTCAGCTTTTATAACCGGGTTCATGCCCACTTGGTGACTGTGACTCTCTAAACTTCTGACTCAGATGGAAAATATTTTCTGAAAGGCCTGGGAACTTGCCAGAGGTTTGTGGACAGAACTCTGGGTGAGAAGGTGGTGAGCTGCACAGGTCTTTCCATGTGCAGTCATTTTAA